AAAAAATATTCTGATACAGGTAAAAAAAATAATTAACTTATTTTTTTTTTTTGACTTATAAAGGCAATAGTATTATGTTTTCCGCTTTTCAATAGTCATAAATCGATCAAACTGAAACAAATCCGGGTCACAAATTAAAACTGAGGGAAACACATCAACTATATGAGGAAAAAAAACGGAACAACAGAAACACTGAACGCCTACAAAAACAAACGCAAACATACATAGAAACGGACTATGTGATAACTGCCATATTCCTGACTTGGTACAGGACATTTTAAGAATAAATGGTGGATTGAACTTGGTTTTATGGCTAGCCAAACCTCCCGCTTATGTAGCAATGTTAAAAATACCGCTGAAATGACAACATTACGTGACAGGAATACCGTACAAATAAATGCAAGAACATACAGGAGAGAGAAATACATAAATAAATAATATAATAGTACATTTCAACATGTAAACCACAGAATAACAACGAACACCTGAAATTAATTTACGACAGAACACAAATACAGCATAATAGAATAATGAACTATGCGTCACACGAATCTATCAACGCCACAAAAAATGACATCACAGGTACATTTCTAGAAATAAAATATAAGATTGGGATTAAGTTGGTAATGGTGTTATTGGATGTATTATCTAACCTTTACAGGAATATTGATATAGAGTTGTGCTAGTAATGGTGTAATTATTTGTAATTTACAACCATGTCGGTTTTTTTTCTAAATCAAACTTTGAAAAAACAAATAAATCATGTGCATATAGTTGATTTAAACTAACAAGATTGCACACAGACATGTACACCTTACAATCAATCTATGCATTGAATATAGTTGCACTATTGCTTATAGTATCTAAGAAACAAACGTAACCATGAAACTTGAATGTCCCCCGCGTTGCACTTATTTAATTATTTCCAAGGGGCTAACTCTTATAAAAAAAAAGACGATCGTCCACCATTTTAAAACTTGTCCGAGATATTGCTGATATAAACCTATAGTATCAGTTTTATAGAAATCTGGCAAGAATTGTACCCGTGAGAGCTCTAATAAGGCCTTTTTCCATAAATTTTATATTTTCAAGGGACATAACTCTTTTAAAAAAAGTCGATCATCCACCATTTTAAAACTTGTCCAAGATATTGCTGATTTTAACCTATAGTATAAGTTTTATAAATATCTGCCAAGAATTGTACCCGTGAGAGCGCTAACGAGGCCATTTTCCATAAATATAATATTTCCAAGGGAAATAACTCTTTAAAAATAAAATGCTTCGCTGAGCACAGCCTGATACGACCGCAGAGGTCCAACCCTGAACAGCTGGGGCAAATTTGGACACAATAATTCAAGCTTGATACTGTCTGAATTTGGATTGTGATCAAATTTTTGACATAATATAGGTTTCTGACACAAAATAAATGTGGTCAAAGATCTTATAAATCCATTGTGCAATACTGTGCAATTGAAGATTTCTTCTTGAAACTTTTCAAAAATTCGAAATTTTAAAAATTTTGAAAAAAAAAATATGAACATGATGAACCCCTTAAAAAAAATTGGAAAAAAAATCCCCCCAAACTTTTTGAACCCCCCTTGGAACAATTACCCCCACTCAATCCAAGCCTTCCCTTTGTAGTATGGAACCTTGTAGTACAATTTTAGAGAGATCCATGCACTTACACACAAGTTATTGTCTGGAAACTAGAAAAATGCTTGTTTTTGGCCTTTTTTTGGCCCCTTATTCCTACATTTTTGGGGCAATTAACCCCAAACTCAATCCAAGCCTTCCCTTTGTCATATGGAACCTTGTGGTACAATGTCAGAGAGATCCATACACTTACACACAAGTTATTGTCTGGAAACTAGAAAAATGCTTATTTTGGGCCCCTTTTTGGCCCCTTTTTCCTAAACTGTTGGCCCCATAACCCCTAAAATGAATCCCAACCTTCTACTTGTGGTATTAAACATTGTGGTACAATTTCAGAGCAATCGAAATACTTATACACAAGTTATTATCCTGAAACTAGAAAAATGCTTGTTTTGGGCCCCTTTTTGGGCCCCTAATTCCTAAACGGTTAGGACCATCATCCCCAAAATCAATCCCAACCTTCCTTTTGTGGTATTGAACCTTCTTAAAAGAGATCCATTCACTTAAACTAAAGTTATTGTCCGGAAACCAATGTGTCTTCAGACGACAACGCAGACGACGACGACACAGACGAAGACATCATACCATTATACGATCCCAAAAATTTGTTTGCGGTCGTATAAAAAGTCGATCGTCCACCAAACTTAGAACTTGTCCAAGATATTTCTGATATTGAATTATAGTATAAGTTTTATAACTAGAGGCTCTAAAGAGCCTGTGTCGCTCACCTTGGTCTATGTGCATATTAAACAAAGGACACAGATGGATTCATGACAAAATTGTGATTTGGCGATGGTGATGTGTTTGTAGATCTTACTTTACTGAACATTCTGGCTGCTAACAATTATCTCTGTCTATAATGAACTTGGCCCAGTAGTTACAGTGGAAAATATTTTGTAAAAATTTACAAAAATTTACAAAATTTATGAAAATTGTAAAAAATTGACTATAAAGGGCAATAACTCCTTAAGGGGTCAATTGACCATTTTGGTCATGTTGACTTATTTGTAGATCTTACTTTGCTGTACATTATTGCTGTTTACAGTTTATCTCTATCTATAATAATATTCAAGATAATAACCAAAAGCTGCAAAATTTTCTTAAAATTACCAATTCAGGGGCAGCAACCCAACAACGTGTTGCCTGATTGGTCTGAAAATTTCAGGGCAGATAGATCTTGACCTAATGAACAATTCTATCCTCGTCAGATTTGCTCTAAATGCTTTGGTTTCAGAGATATGAGCCAAAATCTGCATTTTACCCTATGTACTATTTTTTAGCCATGTCGGCCATCTTAATTCACGCGTGGGGTCATTGGACACATTTTTTAAACTAGATACCCTAACGATGATTGTGGACAAGTTTGGTTAAATTTGTCTTAGTAGTTTCAGAGGGGAAGATTTTTGTAAAAGATTACAAAAATTTACGAAAAATGGTTAAAATTGACTATAAAGGGCAATAACTCCTTAAGGGGTCAACTGACCACTTTTGGTCAAGTTGACATATTTGTATGTGTCAGATTTTCTCTAAATGCTTTGGTTTCAGAGATATAAGCCAAAATCTACATTTTACCCCTATGTTCTATTTTTAGCCATGGCAGCCATCTTGGTTGGTTGGCCGGGTCACCGGACACATTTTTTAAACTAGATACCCCAATAAATTGGTCAAATTTGGCCCAGTAGTTTCAGAGGAGAAGATTTTTGTAAAAGTTAACGACGATGGACGACGATGGACGACGACGACGGACGACGGACGCCAAGTGATGAGAAAAGCTCACTTGGCCCTTTGGGCCAGGTGAGCTAAAAATCTGGCAATAATTGTACCCTTGAGAGCACTAACGAGGCCATTTTCCATAAATTTAATATTTCCAAGGGACATTACTCTTTAAAAAAATGTCAATCGTCCACCATTTTAGAACTTTGTCCAAGATATTGCTGATATTAAATTATAGTATAAGTTTTATAAAAATCTGGCAAGAATTGTTACCATGAGAGCACTAACGAGGCCATTTTCCATAAATTTAATATTTCAAAGGGACATAACTCTTTTAAAAAAAGTCGATCATCCACCAATCTTAGAACTTGTCCAAGATATTGCTGATATTAACGTAATGTATAAGTTTTATAAAAATCTGGCAAGAATTGTACCTGTGAGAGCGCTCAAGAGGCCATTTTCCATAAATTTAATATTTCCAAGGGACATAACTCTATAAAAAAAAGTTGATTGTCAACCATTTTAGAAGCTGTCCGAGATATTGCTGATATTAACCTATAGTATAAGTTTTATAAAAATCTGGCAAGAATTGTACCTGTGAGAGCGCTAACAAGACCGGATGGATGGACAGACAGACGGACGCCCAGTATAACCATGTCCCAGTAACGCGTTAACACAGGGGACAATTAAAATGGATATTTTTTTAAGAACTTGTCCCCTGAAAATGATAATGTGCCCATTATCTTACTGAGGTTTTACACGAGGTGGTATAGATTCTAATACACGATGGTCTTGAAGTATAGATTCTAGGTACTGACGTTGTTTATCATCTTATACACTGTTAAAGTGTTCTTTTATTTGTCTTTGTAAATTTATACTTTAACTGTTTAGTCTAGTTTTGGTAATATTGATTTGACGTGGCTAGGTGCTTATACATCCAGTCATTGTGTTATTGTGCTATGGTCATTTTTTGTATTCATGTCTTAAGTTTTTGCTAATGTGCTTTGTCTATATGCCTTTTTGTTTTTCTTTGTTGACACATTTGTTGCTTTTTTTAGTAATTAAGATTACAACACAATGTTGACTGATGTACCCTATTTTTGACATTTTTACCTGATATGTCTGTTTGTTTTGTTCACACATTGTTGTCAATATAATGGAATTTTATGTGACTGTCATGCAAGTGAGAGGTTTAGCTAGCTATAAAACTAGGCTTAATCCACCATATTCTACAAAAGAAAAAGCCTGTGCCAAGTCAGGAATATGACAGTTGTTCTCCATTCTTTTGATGTGTTTTGAGCTTTTGATTTTGGAATTTCCATTTTGAATTTTCCTAGGAGGTCAGTATTTCTGTTATTTTACTTTTTTGGGGGGGAGTAGACACCTTCATGGAAATTTCAAGAGGATCACATTTAAAATGAAGGCAATTCTTATGACAACAAAGTGATAGCAGATGGAAGAATGAACGGATAGACTGATGAAAAGTATCATATCCTCTATAACATCATTGGTTGGGGTATAATAAGAACAAAATCAAAGGATAAATTGCTTCCTCATTAATATTGCTCAGGAGGACATTCTGATCAACAAAAGCATATTAAAAGTTATTATCAAACAAAAAACAAAAGACAAACTGCAATTTAATATTTTTATTCTTAATTGTCAGAAGCTCTTAAATGACAAATCCAACTTTTGTTTTGTCAAGTACAATAATACAATTCAAAAAAATGTGAACAAAAATATACACCAAAAAAAATCTGACCATTCAACGAGCTTCAAGTTTATCATCACAGTGTATAGAGCTGTCTACCATAGACACAACAGCTAAAGATTGAAATGTTCTAACACAATATAATTACATAATCAATAGTAGATAGTGCACCCTCAGTAAAGTGCCCCTTTTCTGATCCAAAAGCTATTTATCTGGTATGGGATAAAAACTAAAATGATAGAAAAATAACTTGACAAATTTCTATTGTTATATATAAAGATGTTACTTAAATAGTGGATGGTTTCAATAATTTGTTGTAATAGGAATTCTTGTAATTTTCCACCAACAGTAGACAATGGTGAATATCTAAGTAAAATAAAGCAAGCTGATATGAGGGAGCAGTGATTTATAAACATGACATTTCAATCAAGTATCTATTTTCATTTCTACTCTCCCGTACAAAAAAAAACTGTTGAACACGAGATGTCGCGCCTTAATGTAATTTTGATAGTATACCATGTAAATATGGAAGTTAAAATTGCATGTAAACTATAAAATTCATCACTGAAGGTACATGGCCAAATAATCTATTAAAATTAAAAATGCCAATGCTTATACCACTGCATATCATATACCATTGACTTATTATAAGTGGTTCCCCTTAAACCTGACCTAAGCACAACTTCAACATGTAAATTAAGGAAGTTTCAAAGTCAATAGAACATGACTGAGTGGGGGGCAAAAAGTCTACATGGAAATGAGGTGTGCCAATGCTAATACAACTGCATATTAAATATCATTGAACTACCACTTGTGGTTCCCCTTAAACTGATCTAATCACAAACTAATTCATTGTTGCCGCTGCAGCCAAAACCACCATGAACAGCATGCCCCTAAGTCTGGCCTTCTAGACTTGTTGGAGCATATGCCCCTAAGTCTCGTCTTTGAGACATAGTGGAGGCATGACAAAAACCAGGTTTCAGGACTTCACTTCAACTGAACCTAATTTTGTTTTTAATCATACTTTATGACTTTGCAAAGCACTTTCTTTAGTCTGTTAATGTTATACTTTTTATTTTGTGAATAAAGAAAATCAATGAAAAACATATATTAAAACCAACTCAAAAATCAAATATTGACCATATACAAGAAGTTTCCAACATGAAGTTTTTCTTTCCTTTCACTGTTCTTACTTTGTAAAGAAAATGATATTCATTATACAATTACTGCTTAAAAAAATAACAAAAATTCCTACTCCCAAAACACTGCTTATCAACTTTCCTCATCATTAATACCATGTATACAATGATATCAAAAAAAAATATTACACATACACAGAATATACAGTATAAATAGTAAACAAGTCTTGGTGTCCACAACAGGAATGTTCAAAAATGAACTGAACTGGGATGAAATATTTCTTATAGTAGTGATAAAATGTTTCCATTGGCCACAATAATTAAACCTCCACATTTCATCCTGATTTATCTCCCCTTCTTTCAATCTCATTTCATCCTGATTTACCTCCCTTTCTCTCATTAACTTGTATTGAACATCGTTTTTAGTTATTATTTTCTAGGTGGGACAAGCCTTTATGGTACTAACATGGCAACATAAAATGTAATTTTTCTGTGAAAATTCAAGATGAAATTATTTAAGTGTTAATTCATTATGGGTAAAAATTAAAATAAATTCTTATTTCTTTGTAAACTAATGTATATATTCATAGTGACATAATATTCATGACCAATTAATTCATATTCAACACAATTCACTTAAAATATAATGTTAACCTAAAGAATGGAAAAATGTGAATACGGTTAAAATTGTAACTGGTACCCAAATTTACAACAGGGAACAGGATGTCCGTACTCCACGTCAATACTACACCAATACTTCAGCAGCTCAATATTTATATATTTAGGCATCAATACTTTTCAAACAAACAAGATTGTTTTATTGTGTCAGTCTAGATTAAGGGCTGTTCCATTGAAATGCCTGATACCTAGGGTAGGCACTTTGAAAATTTGATTACCATCTATAATGGCAAGTTTATACCCTTTTCCAGTACAGACACCTTCAAGTAGATGAAACTTTGAAGTGACTTGTGAAGGTCCATGTATGTTTTTATGAAACAGCCCCGATTTTTCTGTGCAAAGACCATTTATTCTTTCATCCTAGCCCCTTTTTATTTTCCAAGGCAGGTCACATTAGTTTTTTGTGTGAATACCTTAAAACTATGCCTATATCTGTTGATGAAAGTAGAGTTGCACTACTTGCAGTAAAATTTAGGCAAACTGGAAGGCTCAATATTAATGACACATTTTAAAACTTTCATATTTGCATTGAGTACAAGTTCATAATTAATCTGCTTAAGTTCTAATGTAATATTAACACAACAAAACCGAGACTGAAAGCTTCTGAACTAACCCCTCACAGACAACGATCACTATATGGAAGTGAAATTATTATGAAATAGAATAGAATTTTTCTCACACTTCACGAGTGAACTCAACCTGGCAAACCAATCATCCGTCCATATTTACACAATCCCAAGCATACAAATTACAACATCATGAACCTGAGACAAATATCACAACTAAGAGTTCTTTTCTCAATCAAACTTCTTTTTAGAAAGTGTTGTTCCTTTCAAAACAAGCTACTGTGCGTCAGAAGACAAATCAAGGAACTGTGTGTCCGAAGATGCTTAGTTTTTCATGAAAATTTCTCTAAGAGAAGCCCAAAAATTATGGTTTTAAGATACATTTAATTAAACTGTACCCTTAAATTTCCCTCAAATTATCATTACCATTATACTGTATGCCATCATTTTTCGAGCAAGATGTTTCTTCTAGGAATTCAAATGGTGTTGTTTCTGTGGACAGAAATGACAATACAAACTTGTATGATTACAGTCTAAAATCCAAACCAGTGAAAGTTGTCCTGTCAAAAAATTTAAGGTTTATTAATTTTGTTTAACTTTTATTTACAGCTTATGAGAGCTTATAAACTTAGTAATCGGAATAATAATGTTTTACTTTTCTTAAAAATCATCTTGACGAAGTACACACAGTATCAGAGAAATCTATAGAACTCCATCAAAATATAGATTAATCCTAAAAATATTTTTTGTTAGATTGGGGAATATAAATAGAACTTCTGAAGAAAGAAATTTAGTATACATAACCTTTCTTAAATAGATTAAACTATGTATAATACCTCCCCTTGTTTCAGAAAAAGTTTAAATAAATTAAAAAAGAATATAGTACCCATTTATTAAATAATACTGAAATTCACTACTTGCATAAAACATATAAAATAAGTATTTTTCTCTTATCACCAAATTTACACAAACATTTTTACATTAAATATAAATCACATCTATCAGTAGAAGAAGTGTACCCTTCCCTTGTTAGAACTCTTTTAACAGAACAATTTCCATGCAGTAATTAATTTTAAGGATTTTAGTGTCTCTTTCTTTGATGGCAGAGATTAAAATGAAACATTTCAATGTTGCTTCCATTACAGCTTAAACATATCTGATGTCATGGAGTATTCTACATCATTCAAATATTTACAAGCATTTTAAACACCAACCTTCAGTTCTATGGTGTGCATTTTAGTGTATAAATTTACAGAACAAAAGTACCACTTTTTACATCAGTGAATGGCTAGGTATTTTACGACTGGATGAGAAATTTTATTGTATCGCCCTCATTCTGTTTTCTAAGGAAGAATTTTATTTTCTAACACTCTTGGCAGTCAACCTTAACCTCTACTAGAAGTGAAAGAATTTAATTTTTTGGAAAAATTATGATTTTCAAATTAATATTATTGATTGATTGTTGGTTGCTTAATGTCCCGTGTCTAAAATAATATTACATACCAAAGTTAAATTATTTGCATACTCTACTTATAGCATCAGGACAATCTTTCCTCATCAGTGGATTTATAAACAACATATTTACTCAAAATCATAAAATACTGCAAACACAGTCACCCTACTTGAACATTTTATTGATTTTCCTTTTTTTATACATTTTAAACTTTAATAAAAGATAAAAGACAAAATTACATTGCAAGCACTTTTTTTCATAAATACACAAATTTACTTTGAATATAACACTTAATACTAGATATGTCAACATAATCTGATAAAAACAGAAAAAAACACCATACACACATACATGTACACATACAACTGCAACTTCCTTCCAAAATCTCACATTGTGTACCCTTTCCTACCAAAAAAAACACACACAATATTTCACAAAAAATGAGTATAGGGGTATCTCAAAGTGTCATATGTTTCCTAAACTTGTTCTAACCAATTCCTGCTAGTGCTCCTTTCTATTTAACTTTTATTAAAAAGTATTTTAAAAAAATTTCACATGTTGAAATCAGAGTCTCTCCAACAGAACTCTGCTAAATCTAAGGTTCAGTCACCTGAATCAATATGTTCCACTTAAGCAGTATTGATTTTAATACCATGCTTGCAAAGTCCCAGAATTTGTAAGAATTGAACAAAAAACTATCTTCTTTTGCTAAAAGTTAGCCATTACTTTCCATTAAAATATGCCCAGTCAAAACAAGAGATGTTGTTACCTTTGAAACTTATAATCCATGTTAATGAGATGGCTATTGCAATAATAAAAGTTGTTTAAATGTTTTGATTGACTAATAGAGTAATCTCCCTTGAGCGTTTAGTATTCCCCTTAAATCTGAAAGATAAATACTTGGAGAGAAAAATTATTTAGAAAAAAACCAGATGTTTCAAAAGACTGAGAAAATCACAGCAAAACTTTATTATCTAAATGACATTTTGAGACACTCGGTACATATTGAAAATGAAAATAAATTCTTACATCGTCAAGTTTATAACATTTTTGTACTATTTACACACTATTTACAAGAATTTACTATACTGTTACAAAAGAAATATGTGCAAAACTGAAAATGACCAAAATGATAGCTTGTGATACTGAACTGTTATATAAAGGTATATCAATTGCACAAAACGACCTCCAATATAATATGCCATTTATTTTTTAGTATTTATTTATGGGCAGTTGACATTGATTTGAAAGGGGAAGACAAAAATATCTAACAATTTGAATAACAGTAAGGTATGACATTTCTATTTATAAACACCCATTTCTATTTATAAACATCCATTTCTAATTATAACACACACATATTATTTACACAAAACAGAGCAATATATAGACAATACATACATGTACAAAATAAACAAATAACAATAAATGACTATTAAGATGCACACCCAAGAAATACTTTATCTCTCGTCCATAGTTCTAAACAGTTTTATCTTCTTTATAGTATGTTTGAACAAAATGATCCAAGTAGAAACTTTTTTTAAATAAAAAAAATATATTTACAGTGAAATCATGGAAAAAATCTATACTGAATATTTAGAAACAATTCTAATAGTGAAATTAAAACACTTTTCTAAATTTCACAGAATTCTACTAGTCTATGTTACTCTCGTTCCAGAAGAAAAATGCATCTATCAATAATGAACTTGTATCATAGTTAATACGAAAAATGCCCCTAGTGTATTGTTACATATTGATCTTATGGTAATTCCTATGTAAACAAAGTTATCATATAAAGTTCAATGAAAGTATTGGAAAATAATATTTACAACATTATATAAAGGATAAAGATTCTATAAAATCTCAATTCTGTTAAAGAACTGGTAAGTCATAAATACTGGTGTTTGTCTTTGTGTATCTCTTGTTTCAGAGGCAAATTTCCTGAAGATGTTGTTAATTTCATACATTTCCAAATAAAATTGAGATTTTATAGAAACAGAAATGTTCTTTAAAACTGAGATCATAAGAAATATTCAAACAAGTTTCATCAGTTTTCTCTCAGATTTCTGACATTTACAAAAAAGGGAGTTTTCATAGGCCAAGCAGATTTATAAAATCAAGTATTCTCACAAACCCTTTTTTTTTTTAAATAATGTCATACATTTTGGCTTACTCAGGGATGTTTTTGTCCACAGAAATAAGAAATGGCACTACAGGAAGCCAATCACTGAGTTCAATAAATCATTGTTTTAGATAAATCATAAATGGCAATAGCAAAAATCTGCTGAAAAGTTCTGATTCGTGCTAATAATTGTCGTGATTGTATTAACAAGTCCATGTATACCTCTACTTAGTCTGTTTGTATGACATTCAGATAAACCAAAGACTTTGTATGACATTCAGATAAACCAGACTTTGTATGACATTCAGATAAACCAAAGACTTTGTATGACATTCAGATAAACCAGACTTTGTATGACATTCAGATAAACCAGACTTTGTATGACATTCAGATAAACCAGACTTTGTATGACATTCAGATAAACTAAAGACTTTGTATGACATTCAGATAAACCAGACTTTGTATGACATTCAGATAAACCAAAGACTTTGTATGACATTCAGATAAACTAAAGACTTTGTATGACATTCAGATAAACCAAAGACTTTGTATGACATTCAGATAAACCAAAGACTTTGTATGACATTCAGATAAACCAGACTTTGTATGATATTCAGATAAACTAAAGACTTTGTATGACATTCAGATAAACTAAAGACTTTGTATGACATTCAGATAAACCAAAGACTTTTGTTTTGTTATCTGCTGCATTTCTGCCAAGTATATGGCATTTAGGAGTGAGAGCAAAGATTTGTCTGAGCTGAATCACAATAATGTGTCCAGTTTGTTTGTACATAGCTGTATAAAACTATGTTCAGAAAAATATGTGACAGATTGAACATGGTCAGCTAGCATATTAAAAATCTTACCAAACCTGAGTCTAATACAAAGCAGGGTATATTTAGACCTGATTTTGCATATAAAAAGTAATTACTGAACATTATGCAGCTATCAGCCAATCCATCCATGTTTTGTTTTTTGTTAACTTTAATTTCAGGTGAAACAACTTTAAATAGCCGATATGAAAATAAACAAATCATTCATAATCTGTGCCTGAGAAACACAATTAAATTTGCTTGGCCTTTGATTTAACAGAATGTAAAAAATAAATTTTAACACAAGAAAAAGGTATCAAAATAAAACAACTGTTAAAACACAGTATTAAAAACTTTACTAGAAAACATATTCACAAAGAACTGAACAGACCAAAATAAGTGGATGTTATATAATATTAAGCACTGTACAACAAAAACATATCAAGTTCACTTATTCTCGTCCTGTGATCACATATTTATACATGTAAATACCATATTCCTAATGATAATGTAATTGTGAAATACTATCCCATGAAGAAATTATTGAATTATTTCAGGTTTAATTGACTATTCTTAATTTTAATGCCAAACCAATGGATTTCTATTGTTTAATTTCATTTGAAACTTAAATGTTTACTTCCCCATGCAATACTAGATTCAATTTTTTTTAATGTCTTAAAATTACTTATGACAATAAAAAATGACAAAAAAAAATTTAAGGTGAATTAATCTTAATGATAGTGATGTTACCAAAATTACACATATTGACTGAAACGTTAGCTTACATTTTCATAAAAACAAACCCTAGTATATCAATTTAAAACATTGCTTTTTATACAAAAATATAACAGGATTAATTTAAACACTGAAAACAAAAACAGAGTATCCTAAGGGTCTGAAGTCACTGCTTCAAGGATCATATATCTATTTCTGTAAGCATGCTTGAAGCAAACCACATATTCCTCAAAGCAAGCTAGAAGCATACAATTTATGATGGCTTTTTAATGTATTGTACATCATGTATGCTCGAAGCTTGAATAATGTTAAATATATGCTCCCTAATGCAGATAGGCCAAAAAAGTTTTTAACTGATAAAGGACAACTAAATACATAAAACATTAAAAATCTTGTATGCATGAAAAAGTTACTAAAATTTTTTCAGTGGAATAAGCTATGCATGTATTTATTTTTCTAACATACAAAAGTAAATATATAACATCATTCTATACAGCTATGTACATACAACAATGATTTTGTTTGCAAAATCTAAACTGAAATTTTATTTGTCAGATACATTTTGATGTCCATGTATCTTTTTTTAATTAAAATCCGCTTTTAATAAAAAAAATTTTAAACATGTAATTTACCGAACCTACTGTACATCTATCAGCCCCAATCATATTCAAATTCAAACTGAACAGGATTGTGTAACACATCATCTACTGTATAGAATACCATCAATTCAAAAACAACACTACCTTTCTAACACAGTTACATGTAGCTTATACTTGGCAGTGACTTTTTTTTTTTTAACATATCAAAAAGGAGGCTAACACCATTGATAAGACCTCTGACTTGCTTCAACATTTGTCATGTTTGTTGATACTGAGTACAGAGTAGAAATATGTTAATTCTTTTACAAACAAAATCAAAACAATAAATAACACCGAAGACTATTTACAAATGTACAGAAAGATGACTTTGTCAAAAAAATTTAATAAAACAAAAAATATATATATAAACATCTTTTACAAATGCCAAGCACTTTTCCTGTGTTCAAAAATAATGAAATGACTAGTACAGACTAAACTGGTCTGTCTTCCAATACAGAAACAACTCTCTAGCACAAAAATAACATTTAAGTTTCTAAATTACATTCGAAATATTCATGGAGGTTTTAACTGAGAGATGATATACCTATTATTTACAGTGAAACAGACGAGTTGATTGTGATATGTTACATCTGCCCTCTAAACGACAAAAAAAGACATTTTATTTACAAAATCAACTAAATCGAAAAGAAATTAACACATATATATACATACAGATTCATTTTAAGGATATACAATATTACATATTAATGGAAAGAAAAAAATATACACTCACAAAAAAATCTGAGCGATACAAGCATTTCTGTACACACAATTGATATTTACAGAGACAAAGAAAGTTTCCGAGTTGTAACTAAGCAATCGAGCAAAAAGTATGTATCACTGTTTCATGTATTAGGTACCACACTAATGAAAACCTGTAATTTAAATTGACAAAAAAGCTTATATAAAACCTTGTGCCAAGCTTACAAAATCGTTGGATTAGATAACAAAGTTGATGTAATTATACATAAATTTATAACTTGTTCATAGGAGTCCGTCTGAACACCACATGAATCCATCATCACTATGCAATTGTTCCTTTCCCTCTTCCAATGACAATTACATTGTAAGTAATGGGAAGTCTATTGTAAAATGAAGCCACCATATTTCCTGTTCATTAGGAAATAGTGCATCATTCCACTGAATTTAACACCGTTCAATTTCGTCAACAGTCATGACTCTGGTTCCCTGTTGAGGAAGCGGTGGCATGTTGGGAATTTGTCCTTTCAACACATCATTACCAAACCACTTGAACAGATTTGGTTCTCCTGGTTTTGTCAGGTTGTTGTTCCCATTATATAATCCTGGAGAAACAGGGCCACCCATTGCTGAAATTTTTAAAAATATATATGAAATTACTAAAACACAAAAGACCATTGCCATCTTAATAAATCTGAGGTAGAATTTTTTTTCTAGAACAAAACTTTACTGAAAATTACTCTTTTTCAAAAGTACATCATTAAAATAAGTTTGTTGATGATTAATTAGATGCATGGTAAAAAAAAAATTTCCTAAAGCATAAAATATAAAAAAGCTGCAATTTTCAGTCTATTGCTGTTGTCAGAGAAGACCTTTGACATAGTGAAGGTTGTCACTGACCTGAAAATCTTTAAGGGTTTTTTATTACCCCAAGACAAAAATTGTCACTAATGTCAGTTTATAAATTGCTATATTCATCTTGAGCTTTGAGTCTTCTTAAAATCAAGACATATTATCCAATAGAGATTGTTAAGATCTAATTTATGGCTCAGAAGATATTGTCCACAAACATTTCCCCCCAAAAAAATGTTGTCTATTATAGGCAGTGACCATGACCTTTAACTTACTTGCCTAAAAATCTATAAGACTTGTTCTTTCCAAGGTTCATTTTCAAACTAAGTTTGGTGAAGGTTGGATATATTTTTGAAAGTTATCATGTAAAAACAAAAAACAAAAATCACCCCAATATCAGTTTAAAATTGATATAATGACATGACCTTGACCTTTGATACAAATATCAATAAATGTGGTCTTTTGAAACCCATCGTAAATTATCACACGTTAGTTTGGTAATACATTTACATGATTCCAAAATTTTGTTTTGTTTAGGAACAAAAATGATGATGTATATGTAAGACAAGTTGGACTATGTACAAGTACCACAGAGTACAGAAATTGAAAGAAATAAAGCATTGAAATCCCCCCTCCCGTCCCCTCTTGAGCAGAAAAGTACCACTAACATTGTTTATGAGATGGTGCCTGTGGTGACAAAGCATTGAAATCCCCCCTCTTATACAGAAAAGTACCACTAACATTGTGCCTGAGATGGTGCCTGTGGAGACAAGGCATTTAAATCCCCCCTCGTAAGCAGAAAAGTACCACTAACATTGTTTCTGAGATAGTGCCTGTGGATACAAAGCATTGAAATCCCCCCTCTTAAGCAGAAAAGTAGCACTAACATTGTTTCTGAGATGGTGCCTGTGGTGACAAAGCACGGCTCATGGCAACGTTGACTCCCATTGGTAAAGAGTTGGGAATATTAAGTCCCGCCGACGGCAAAGAGCTCCGTGGACTCATTGTAGAAGGTGGATAGATTCCACGAATACCTTGAAGTCTAGGGTCCATCATCCTCTGCTGCTGTTGCTGTGCTTGTATAGCCATCTGATTCAGGTGGTTTATTTGGTTTATCTGATTCAGTGCATTCACTACAATGTTAATATAAACAACAATTAATAATACTGAGCATTCATAATTATTCCTGGGTACATATATTCCTTGATTTCATGGGTAAAGGTTAAACAATGATTAAATTGATCAACAAAATACAAATGTTTCTATAGCTTTGTGTGCAGAATTTCTTAAAACTACAAATTGTTATTTTTCCCCAACCTAGAAAATTAGTGCCAATGAAAATACATGAATATACAATTTCAGCTGGGTTATTTGGTTTGTCTTATAATAAAAATATACATATTTAATGATTAGAAATAACATTCTGAGATCTAGTGAATACATATACGCTCAGCTACAATTCTCATTAAAATATCTCTTTAGCAGCAAATCTCTGATTTTTAGGGAGAAAGATATGTCAAATCAATTAAAGTTAACTAAACCTATATTTAAAGTTCAAGAGAGAAAAATCAGCTAAAAAAGGGTCACCATTGTCAAACTGCAACAATCAAAATCAACCAAAATCGAATAGGCCAATTTTTAAAAACACTTGTCAACTCACCCCCTCTTGTTCAATAGAGACTCTTAATCCATAAAAAAGCACAAAATTTACTCTAAATATATCTGCAGAAATTACCTCTAGCTGTTGCCGGTGAGATACCTCCCTGCATCATCTGTTGTAGAACAAGAGGACTAGGAGTCATATTTACTCCTCCCGGTGGGATAGGCATCCGTCCAGTTATTGGAATGCCCATTGAAAAGTTCTGTGACACCGGTGTCCCAACAATGGGTCTCGTGAGTGGATTAGGAGATAAGTTGATTGGTCTTTGTGGCATGTTAGGTGTTGACGTCTGTAACGTATTCTGTCCCATTATAGCCCTCTGTTGAATACTTGCAGATGATAGTGGAGTATTTAGCTGCTGAGACACAGAGAACTGTCGAATAGGTACCTGGTTTGGTGTCATTACACCTGTTACACTACTAGTACTAACATTCACTGCTGCAAAGAAAAAGAGGAAATGATAGAAAGGAAAATGGAGTAATTTTATATCCATCCCATTCTTCCAATGCACTACAGGTAAATGCCCTACCAATAAAGTATAGGGACCCCTAAAATAAAATATGGCCATGGCCATTTAATGCATGGCCATTAAAATCTATAAAATATATTACCTGCTAGATCAGTTGGCTATATTTGTAATACTATTGAAAGGGCAATTAGATTTCATTAAAGGCTGATTAACTGGAAAAAAACTTCCCCACCGAAACAAAGCACTTGAAGATTAATGAATTGATGGGTGTTTAATGCCACTTTCAGCACTATTATGCTATTTCACGTCAGCTTTCCTTGGTGGAGGAAGCCAGAGTGCCACGAGAGAACCTGAAGAAAGGCTTAGCAGTAATGTAATTTTTGATAGACAACAATTCTGAAATCCAAATTATATCTTTACATTTCACACTACACAATCTTTAAAACATCATCTTAAGGTCAGGTTACAGTAAATGGGCTGCGTCACAATAATAATACAAAGGTTCACCTATTTTGAGAGAATTCAATCAGTAATATTTCAGAAAATAAAAGAGATAAATGCATTATTTTTTCGATTTTCTGTTACAGCTCAACATTGCAAAGTTGTATGCAAAATTTTACCAAAATCTGTGACCAAGCCCATTTACTGTTCCTTGACCTTAAATGACATTTTGTACTATTAGAAATATTTTAAACAGTGACCTATCATTAATGCTACACAATTTCTAAATTGGTCCCCAAAAAATAGGTCAAACTGTTCATTCTTGGTCAAGTCTTGAATGTAGAACACACCGTTGCCAGTATTAGTTTATTTTGAAGAATGTATGTTTATTCAGATAAACCAATTAGAACAAACCTTTGACAATTGGTCTGCCAGAAGTTGGGAACTAGTCAAGATATTAATGTATTAAAACAAACCTTTGACAATTGGTCTGCCAGGAGTTGGGAACTAGTCAAGATATTAATGTATTAAAACAAACCTTTGACAATTGGTCTGCCAGGAGTTGGGAACTAGTCAAGATATCAATGTATTAAAACAAACCTTTGACAATTGGTCTGCCAGGAGTTGGGAACTAGTCAAGATATCAATGTATTAAAACAAACCTTTGACAATTGGTCTGCCTGGAGTTGGGAACTAGTCAAGATATCAATGTATTAAAATAAACCTTTGACAATTGGTCTGCCAGGAGTTGGGAACTAGTCAAGATATCAATGTATTAGAACAAACCTTTGACAATTGGTCCTCCTGGAGTTGGGGACTAGTCAAGATATCAATGTATTAAAACAAACCTTTGACAATTGGTCTGCCTGGAGTTGGGAACTGAACTAGTCAATATATCAATATAATAAAACAAACCTTTGACAATTGGTCTGCCAGGAGTTGGGAACTAGTCAAGATATCAATGTATTAAAATAAACCTTTGACAATTGGTCTGCCTGGAGTTGGGAACTAGTCAAGATATCAATGTTTTAAAACAAACCTTTGACAATTGGTCTGCCTGGAGTTGGGAACTAGTCAAGATATCAATGTATTAAAATAAACCTTTGACAATTGGTCTGCCAGGAGTTGGGAACTAGTCAAGATATCAATGTATTAGAACAAACCTTTGACAGTTGGTCCTCCTGGAGTTAGGGACTAGTCAAGATATCAATGTATTAAAACAAACCTTTGACAATTGGTCTGCCTGGAGTTGGGAACTGAACTAGTCAAGATATCAATATATTAAAACAAACCTTTGACAATTGGTCTGCCAGGAGTTGGGAACTAGTCAAGATATCAATGTATTAAAATAAACCTTTGACAATTGGTCTGCCTAGAGTTGGGAACTAGTCAAGATATCAATTTATTAAAACAAACCTATGACAATTGGTCTGCCTGGAGTTGGGAACTAGTCAAGATGTCAGTGTATTAAAATAAACCTTTGACAATTGGTCTGCCAGGAGTTGGGAACTTGTCAAGATATCAATGTATTAAAACAAACCTTTGACAATTGGTCCTCCTGGAGTTGGGGTCTAGTCAAGATATCAATGTATTAAAACAAACCTTTGACAATTGGTCTGCCTGGAGTTGATAGTTGTGTTGACAACAGTGGTGGTGGCCCACTCATCTGTGGAAGTGGTCCATTGGCTGGCATCATGTTAGACATCATATTTGGCCCAGGACGAGCATTTTTGTTTGCACCTGCTCCCTGTAAGGTAAGATGAAGAATAGTTTAATTTTTCTGTCAGTTTCCAATGTGGATTTTGTGTCAGTATTCATAAAGATATGAATGAGCACAAGAAAACTTATTCAATGCCTTCTTTGCTGTTTGATTGACCATTCTTGGTGTAAAAGATCACATTGTAAAGTAGATTGAAACAAGCATTCTGTAGTCCCCTACCAGTTCAAAAATCATTGTACTGAAACAAAATGCTTACTTGATCAATAACTTGTCATGGTGTAAACTATATAACAAATATCAAATCAATATCTTCAAGCATGACGAAAAAAGTATGGAAAACTGATTACTTGCGCGAATATCCAAGGACCATAACTCTGCACAAAATCATCATACCAGAAACAAAATTCAAACTTGATCTGTAACTTGTCATGGTAAAACTGTATACCAAATATCAAATCAATATCTTTAAGCATGACGAAAAAGTGCAGAAAACAGATTACTTGCACGAATTTTTAAAGTCCAAGGACCATAACTCTGCACAAAATCATCACACCGGAACAAAATTCAAACTTGATCTGTAACTGGTCTTGATTAAACTATATCAAATCCATATCTTAAAGCACAAAGAAAATAAATAGGGAAGTGTCTATGGGACACAGATGATGCCCCCGCTTGCATATAATGTTATAAAGGGACATAACTCAAGAACGGTATTAGTGACGCAACCCAAATTCATATTTGATCAGAGCTTTGTGGTAATAACATTATGTAAACGTTTCATAACATTTGGTTGAGGCAAAGTAAAGTTCGAGAACGGAAATGAAAAATTCAGCAATTTGTCCATTTGTAAAGGGGTATAACTCTAGAACAGTAAAAGTGACACCACCAAAATTCAAACTTGATCTGTGTTTTGTGGTAATAAGCATTGTGTATAAGTTTCATAACATTTGCTTGATGCAAACTAAAGTTAGAGAACGGAATAGAAAAATTCAGCAATTTTTACATTTGTAAAGGGGCATAACTCTAGAACGGTAAAAGTGACCCCACTAAAATTCAAACTTGATCTGTGTTTTCTGGTTATAAGCATTGTGTATAAGATTCATAACATTTGGTTGAGGCAAACTAAAGTTAAAAACGGAAACGAAAAATTTAGCAATTTTCCATTTGTAAAGGGACATAACTCTAGAAAGGTAAAATTGACGCCACCCAATTTCAAACTTGATCCGTGTTTTGTGGTAATAAGCATTGTGTATAAGTTTCATAACATTTGGTTGAGGCAAACTTAAGTTAGAGAACAGAAACCAATTTCGGGACATACAGATGGACAGACGTATGGATGTATAGTCCGTAGAGATGGACAAAGTTACAACTTATTGCCCCCTCCGCTATGGCAGGGGCATAAATAGTGTGGAAAATTGAATTGCCGGACTGACGGATGGACAGACTACAAGTGGACGGAGTGCAAACCTAAAAGACCCCTTTGACTTTGTCGGTAGGGGATTAATAAGAAAGCAGAAAGACACCTTGCTTGATTTACATGGAAAATATCCAAATAATGATTATGAGTCAAATGCATACATGTACATGGACTCCATGTTGTAATAGGTTTAATGTCAGGTGAATTTAAATTTCATGACCTGTGTTTTTGTTATACATCATGTTGATCTTCAATAAAGATCAAATTCACATGAGCAGTCTATCTTTGTGATTTTATCTTGATTCAGAAAATTAGTGAAAATAAATCCATTTATAAATTTTCCACCTTCCAGTACAACTAGAGCTCCTGTAATGAATATCAGACTCCAAAATATGAACATGGAGGTTTTAATTTACCTGTTCAGTGTTTCCTGTACTGGACCCCATGGACCCTGAATATCCAGGAGGAGGCACATGAGTGTTGAACTGTTGCTCTGTCTGAGAATGAGGACCATTCCTCGACTCTTGGTACTTGTTGTTCAGGTGTCTATCAATTTCATTATTTGGACTGTTGTGGTCTTCATCATTTAACGATCCATCAGGTCGTATCAATTGTCTGATTGGTGGAGGTGGTGCTGGTGTTCCTAATAAATGGAGTGAGATCTTGATTAGAGAATGTCAACCCAAATGGTCAAAGATCACTCACTGCATTAAACATAGGGTGTCATGTTAATTGTTTAACTCCTATTTTTGACAAGGCTAATTACATACCAAAATTGCAAATGCATACTTTACTGTAGAACAAGGTTGGAGAAATTTCCACATTAAGACTAAGTTTATCTATTGATTTTTTTTGTCATATTGTATTCTCTTTCAGATGACTAAAAGTATAATTGCTGGAGATAAAACTATTTATTACCATAAAGAGTTGTAATAATGGAAAAGAAATTAAAGAAAATATGTAAACAGGAAGAATACTAAAGTTTTGTTGTCTGCTGGGACATTAAATGCATTCATGCTAATCAGTAACAATTCTATTATCCATTTAAAGATTATACTATAGTTTGAATGCTGATAGGCTAATTGAAGTCAAATATGATAATTGATCAATACTCAATGGTTTCTCAGTTCTATGGATTTAATATGTAGAGGCAGACCAAATTTTTCTAAGCAAGGAAATAAATAGTCCTAACAGAACCAATTATTCAAAAAACAAAATTAACAATCCTATACAAAGCATTGTTTCAAAATATAAAATCTGAAACATCAATAGGATTGCATATACATTTTCCCGTTATCTTACCTTCTCCCATCTCTGGTTTCTGTTTGTCCTTTTCACTTGCTTTGTCTGAATGCATCTTTCTCATCACTGAAGTTGGCGTAAAAGCAACTGAAACTGCAGGCTGAAACAATAATAAAAAATTGTTTTTAATTATGAACCCATCTTCCCTCCTATATTTGCAAAATCTTTATTTGGAGCAGGATAGGTTACGAAGAAAATATGTCTGTATTTTAATGTTAGATATTTTCATTTTTGGTGCGAACTTAACAAATAGATTTAAGAAAGAAAATGTATCCATAGGTTCAGTGATTTGGGAAATATGGGTCAAAACTCTTAATTTGGCATACGATACTAGCCTGTAATTTTGTCTGTCTTATAATTCCATTAATTTAAGATTAGGTTAACGAAATTGATGGACTTCTAGTACAAATGAAATTACAAGAATTGAGGGTATGATTTAATAAATTCACATCATAATGCACATGTGTACTAAATTTCAAATGAACTACCATAAACCTCACTTTTAGCCTGATACCTGACGGACCAAAAAACATAATGCCCTTACTATTGCAGGTAGGGCAAGAAAACAAAAACAAACAAGATAACTTTGATAATACCCACCTTAATCTTATAAGTCATTGTAGTAACCCTGTTTACAAATTATAAGGACATTTTCAGAACACAATTTAGCATAAAAAAATATATATAAAATTTATAAGTTTCAAAATTTGCTTAAAGTAACTAACATTTCTCTCGTATTTAGTGTTCATTTGTTAAAAGTGTGACAAGTGTGAAACTAAATACAGTGAAACCTGTCCAAATTGAACACCCTTGGGACTTGGTGTTTTGTTCAGTTTTCACAGGTGTTCGGATTGTAGAGGTAAACAGAAGTGGGTAGTTTAAAACCATTTTGAAACTGACTGACAACTGGTACCAGGTGACACAACAGCCGACAATCGGTTTATGATGATTTCAATGTTAAAGAAAATAAAATGAAAAATATGAAAAAATGTCCAACCCTGGTATTAATTTAATATTCCCGCAAGTCTACATTGTCGTCTGATTCAATTAAGTTTTCCCCCGTAATTTTACTGTTTAAGTCAGATTCATAATCCCTGTACATGTCATATTCGGATTCCGTCGTTTGTCATCAAAATCGTGTTTCTATTATCTAACACTCAGGTCCTTCGAAATGTTGAACCTCAGATATTTATGTTGAAATAATCGGATAATGGAACATCATCATCCGGGTCTTCAGACTCATTTGCATTCAATGGGGTTTCTAAAGAGTTACGAATTACGAAAACATTGAGCATGGTGTATTGTTTTGATTGCTATTGATCCATTTTGACAGGTAAACGTTCAATACACATTCACTTACGAGACTTCAAAAAGTGTTCTGAATTCAGTATCAGCAGGGTTTGGTTTGTTCAGGTTGAATTAACATTAATAGGGAAATTTCATAGGACTTTGGAAATTGTTCAGTTTAAAGTGAAATTCGGTTTAATCAGGGTTCAGTTTTCTCAGGATTCACTGTATGAAATTTCAAAATTAGTTCATAGAATGTCAGAGTTGTCCAAGACTTGACTTACCTTTGGTTGATTATTAACAATAACTGGATTGTTAGACATAGGCATTGACATCATACTTGGCGACTTTGATGAATTTGGTGTTGCTGTAGGGTTTGGCGACTTGGCCCTAGAAATATTTGTATTGTATATTATTAGAACTTCTTTTTGCAAAATCAACTATTATTTTTATTTTCATTTAATACAAGTTATATCTTTCATTACTGTTTTTATAGGAAGAACAAGATGTATATTTTCCTGTGAATTGATAAAATTAAACCAGCATAATCGAATATTTTGACAGTAGAAGTTGAAAAAATTAAAGTATGTTTTTTTCTTGTATCAAACATTGACAAGAACAAAATATTGAATAAAAATTTGCTATAAGACACAAGCTTGGTTCAATTTTGTCCCAATAAAAAAAAGGTTTCCCTGATACATTATTGTCTTGCAAGACATAAATATGACCTCATGTCCTCAGTATGCATGCTTAGTTATAGTACTTAGCCACTATTGTCACTGTAATTTGGAAAAAAAAAATTGAGAAGAAATAAAATCCTAGTTCTATAGAACCAACTTTCAAACATGCAAGTATAAAATTAAAAAAAAGCCCATTTAGAAATACTTAAACTCAAATTAAAATGCGATTGGTGGTAAATTTACATGTAATTCTGTTCAGATAGTTGTTAACCAGCTACTGCAACCTTTATCAATGTTCTTTTGAAATAAAAAATACTATTAGAAATACCTCTCTTGTTGTTTCTTCATAAATCTTTCTTTTTGATCTTCTAATTGTTTCTTAAGTAAAGCTGTCTGCATTATGGCTTGTGTATGAGCTATTAATTCTTGGGGACTTGGTCCACGGTGGACAACAGGTGGCCTTATTGAAGCAGTCGACTGAAAATGTATGGTTAGATATGTAAAATAATGCACTTGTTAAGCTTTCTTGAAATAACAAAATCAGACATTTTAAGCTTTTATTTGATCAACAGAACCAATATGACATTTAACAACTCTATTACAGGTTTTTATCATTGTTGAAGGCCGTACATTTGCCTATAATTGCTTTCATCCACTTCATTTGATCTTTGGTGGATAGTTGTCTCATTTGCAATCATACCACATCTCCTTATTTTTATATCTATTAATTATTTAACTTTAAAATAATTAGTAATGGAGTAACAAGTCTGTATATATTTAAAATATTTGGATTTCTTTCTGTGACAAGTGAGTACTTGCTTGAACATCTATCATTGTCTATGTACTGTGGATTCATTTATTTTCATGGGTGCAAATTTTTGATTAAGGAAAAATTGTATTTTTGTGGATTTTGATTTTGTGGTTTTCCAAAAGTTTGCAAACAACAAGCCTATAGAAATTTTGTACTTTGTTGAACATTTAAATTTGTTGTTCATCTGTCATCCCATGATATCCACGAAAATTAGGTATACCACGAATAATAATAAATGCACAGTATTAGTCTTGTTAAGAGTGGTTTACTTCATGTATGGAAATACTAAAACACCAAGGAGGTTCTTATAGACATGGAAATACTAAAACACCAAGGAGGTTCTTATAGACATGGAAATGCTAAAACACCAAGGAGGTTCTTATAGACATGGAAATGCTAAAACACCAAGGAGGTTCTTATAGACATGGAAATGCTAAAACACCAAGGAGGTTCTTATAGACATGGAAATGCTAAAACACCAAGGAGGTTCTTATAGACATGGAAATGCTAAAACACCAAGGAGGTTCTTATAGACATGGAAATGCTAAAACACCAAGGAGGTTCTTATAGACATGGAAATGCTAAAACACCAAGGAGGTTCTTATAGACATGGAAATGCTAAAACACCAAGGAGGTTCTTATAGACATGGAAATGCTAAAACACCAAGGAGGTTCTTATAGACATGGAAATGCTAAAACACCAAGGAGGTTCTTATAAGACATGGAAACTGCTGGATCATTTATGTACTTGTTTACTTTCATAGTTTTCTTAGACTGATTGATTGACTGGTGTAAAACACTATTGTGCTTTTTCGTGGAGGAATCCAGAGTGCCCAGAAAACCACCAACCTTCAATAAGAAAACTGACAATCCTAGTCAATTAAAATTGGCGCCGATCACACCTGCTACGTGAGGGATTCAAACTAACAACCTGTGTTGACAGGCTTGTGATACAGCAGTTTGACTTCTTAGACCACTTGGCTAACGAGGCCCCCAGGTTTTCTTATACATGACATTGGGTCGTGTGTTTGTCAACTGTAAAGGATTTACTTACCGACATAGAGACTGCTGGAACATTGATGGGTGATGTACTTGTCAACTGCGATGGATGGATCGGTGATGGTGCATTGAGATGCATTGGTGGTTGCTGACTGAACACTAAAATCACAAAGCATAAAAATAATAAACAACCATTTTTAGATATTTTCTTAACAATATATAGTAAAATTAATTGAACAGTTTATGAATTACTTAAAAATGTAAGACTAACCATTGAAGATATATTAACCAAATGTTTTAACTTCATAGTTATTTACTTCATGGTAGCTGACTGATATTCATCTGTATCTCTTTTATTTTGGGAAAGTTTTGATCTCTTCAGCATTGCAGAATTTGAAATTTGACAACCTACACATAAATATTTTTTGCAGTAATCTGCATTCAATATGTCACATTTCTGCATTGGTCGATAAAAAACAAGAGTGCACACGCTGAAATTTCTCGCCTTCTTTACTAACCATTGATTTTATGTTGATAGTCCTAAATATAAAGCTTTACTACAAGTAACACATAAACTTAACATGATCCAAGAAAATGAGGTCAAGGTCAGATAAACCAAACGAGAAATACATGTACACCTTACAATCATTCAATAAACCAAACATACTTGACCTATTGCTTATATTTTCTAAGAAACAGTCTTAACCAAGAAAACTTAACATTGACCAATGAACCATGAAAATGAGGTCAAGGTCAGATGAACCATGCCAGACAGACATGTACACCTTACAATCAATTTATGCATTAAATATAGTTGACCTATTGCTTATATTTTCTAAGAAACAGTCTCAACCAAGAAAACTGAACATTGACCAATGAACCATGAAAATAAGGTCAAGGTCAGATGAACCATGCCAGACAGACATGTACACCTTACAATCATTTTATGCATTAAATATAGTTGACCTAATGCTCATAGTATCTAAGAAACAAACTTAACCATGAAAACTTAATATTGACCAATGAACCATGAAAATGAGGTCAAGGTCATATGATACCTCCCAGACAGACATATACACCTTACAATCCGCTGCCGGATCACTATCCCTATGTCGAGCTTTCTGCGACAAAAGTCGCAGGCTGGACAAAAACAAATCATTAAATAAAATTGTGTGTTACTGAAGAGAAAGAACCATAACTATGGAGTTGCTGAATTTGTTAACCTGTTCCAAAAATCACTAACCATGCAGAATTCTGAGATTTCCAGCTGTCATTCATATTTTCTGATTTTTAAAGCTTTCCAATTCAATTGACACATCATCTTTGAATTTAAATACCATTAAGGGCTGTTCCAGAAATAAATACATGGGGGAAGGGGTCAGAAGTCACTTTTAATTATACCCTGCCATACATAAAATTTATTAGAATATTTCCTATAATTGGTCTTTCCAAAATAACCACCACTTATCATATTAAAATAAAAATGCCCTCCAAATATGCAATTGACATATTTGAAGTAAAGCCACCTAATTAAAATCGGAACTTTCTGCTCCTTCAGATTTGTTCTATGCAGCTTGTAAGATCTAAGACCTTCAATAACCGTACAAATTTTTGACAGTAAAAAACCCAAAAATTTCCGAAAGATATCTTCAGATATTACACATCTGCAACAAACAAGTCTAACAGAGTATAGTAAAAGATCTTATCTAAATCATATTGACAATAATGTGAAGTTCACTGTTATAAACTCTACGTGTTCTAAATCTATATTCCTCCATCTATTTTACATAAAATTAAACAACTTTCCAACTTACTGATTGGTGAAGGTACACGAGGTGAAGATGTTGGCTGTGGCATGAAGTTTGGAATGACTTGTGGTGTCGGTGATGGAGCTCTAGGTGTGGACGTGTTCTGTATGATATTCATCATGGTTGGAGCCTGTGGCTGTTGAGGGACAGTCTGAGGCGGAGGGGTTGGGGAGGCTGATTTTGTAATGATGGTTGGGTTCTGTTTGATATAGTTTGCCAATGATTCGGGCAAGGTTGTTCGTAAGCCACCTGGTGTCTGCTGACCTAAAGGTGTTGGCTGGGCAAGAGGCGTGGATTGTTTTGTCATGTAGCTCATCTTCATTTGAGCCAGAGCCTGCTGTCTTATCAGGTTCTGTTGTTCCTTGTTACGAAGTAAAGCCTGAAAAGAAACCATAGTACTGTAATAAAATCTTGTTAACTACGAAGTAAAGCCTGAAAAGAAACCATAGTACTGTAATAAAATCTTGTTAACTACGAAGTAAAGCCTGAAAAGAAACCATAGTACTGTAATAAAATCTTGTTAACTAACAGATGATGGTTGTCCTTGTGATGCAATTGAACTCCAATGAAACACATTAAAATTTGGACACAGGTGAACACATTTTAGTTTCAAATATGTTAAAGGGGACTTAAAAAAATAGACTTATATTGAACTGTCTACTCCAAAATCATATATACATTTAATCGAATAAATAAATTTTACACTTACATGCATGCATCTTCATTTTTCAAATGATTCATATATACCTCAGGCCAATGCCAGCCTGTGTATATCATTTAGAAGCCATATCCTGTGACTTGAAGAATGTTTTTTTCTCTCTCAAATAACTTGTGTGAAAAATTTTCAATTTACAGGCAATTTGACATGACCTTTGCCTATGACCTTGCAGAAAGTCTACCTACTATATTTGGTATCACCTAGTTCTGTATTTATCCTTAGGCTCCTCTATATATAGTTCTTAGTCTAAAATGTACATGAATGTCCCCCATTAGTGAACAGCAAATTGGTAGTTATGTAATAATGTTTAGTCAGTACCTAATAAACATAGTGTCAACAAATTGTGTGACTCCAAATAAGATTTTCTATAAATCTATTCAATCTGAAAAATAAAGCTGTCAAGAATAAGATTGGAAATCTCAAATACACTCCTTCCTGTTATGGTAAAAAATATGAGCTAACCTGCAAGAATTCATTTTGTGCAATTTGAGCTTGCGTCTGTTGACTGTTTGGAGTCTGAGGTCTAGCCTGCATCATCTGTTGTGGTGGGGAAGGAACTCTGGTCTCCTGTCGAGTCTGAAATAATAACAATCTGGATTGTAACAAATGCAGATTGTAAAAGTACTTTAACTTGTTGGGTATCAGTTTAAGTGCCATTCTAAGAAAAATTGTATGGAGGAAAACAGTATTTTATATAATATAAACTAGAACTGTGAGTAAACTCTCAAAAGGATACCCTCTGCCATGCAATACTTTAAGTATATTGAAATAAGTTAATTTGATTATCTCCCCTTCCACATTTTACAAAGATTATATCCGTTATGCTCATCCTCAGGTAGTGTTCATGTGTTAAGTTTCAATATCTGTCTAAAGAGTTACGCTTACAAGACATATGACAAACAAGGTGATTCTTCTAAAACATATAAAGTAAAACCAAAGAACAATATATCATAAGTTTTATCTAGTGGAGATAAATTCTCCTGTAAAATCACACTTCTTTAAATTTGAATACAGTTTTATTTAGTTTTTATAAATTCTGTTTCAGTGAGACATAGTAAAATGAATATCTTTGTTGTGAGGAAAATAATATTGAGACATATATTACAATATTTGGATTTCAAACGTTACAATATAACAGAAACTTACAGGAATTTTAGGAGATTCTACAGCTGCCGCTGCCCCAGCTTGCATCAGACTCAGTAACTTATTAAATGCCGTCAAATCTCCTTCATCCTCACTGGATCGTCTGGAAGAATGTTGAGACGAGGGCTGCTGATGTTGCTGATGTTGCTGGTGTTGGTGATGTTGAATCACAGTAGGAGGAGTCATTCTTACACCAGGAGGGGTCATTCTGTTCTGTCTTTCAATCTTGTGATGATTCATTGCCAGGGGATGGGGGATTGGCTGCTGTGGATAGTTATGTCCAGGTGTAGTCGTTGGCTTCATATCAGCTTCCAATTCCTGTACAGTCTTGATACTGTATGGTACATCTGAAAACACAATAAATGTTGTCAAAATTTCTCTTTTTCAATGTATAATTAAAAGATATCAAAGGTTATAACAGGATTAGAGCTATTTTCCTAATGCTTGTAGTTTAAAGGTTTGGCTTGCTTACTTGCTTTGTTTGTATGATTGTTTGCTCAAGCATTATAACTAAGATTGACATCTGCAATGAATAGATAGGCGAGGCTTCAGCTTGTATACATTATATTTAAATGTAATTGAGTATAATGTATACAAGCTGAAGCCCCGCCTATCCAAATCCAAGCCAAACCCTTTAAACAACAAGCATTAGGAAAACAGCTCTAAATTTCTGTGGAACATCCTTAACTTGATTTGTTGTTATTGTCATCCAGGTCTATCAATGGTGGATTCATTATTATTGGTGGGATATCAATTTCTGTGGATTTCATGTGTATGGTAAAACCACAAAGTTAAACGTACAATGAAGTACAAATTTGCTGTAGGCTTTGTATGCATACATGTACTTCTGTAAATGTAATACTTGTCATAACTAGATGTGTCGTAACGACACGAAAGACCCCGCTCACAAAAAAACTTGAGGCTTGAAGCAATTTTTAAGAGTGGAAATTTTGTTCAAAGCCTGTAAATCTGGCAAAAATCAGTGGAGCAGAACCAAACACAAACTCAATCTGTAACTATTCATAGATGACTCGCATACTAAAAATCAGCTCAATATGTGAAGGAGTTTAGAAAAAAAGTCTGTATAACTGTTATTTTCCTGAAATTTTCAAAGTCAAAGCCTGTAATTTTCGGCAAAAATCAGCAGAGCGGGACCAAACGTGAACTTGATCTGTAACTCATCATAGTAAACTCACATACTAAAAATCAGCACAATAAGTGAAGGCGTTTAAAAAAAAAGGGCTGTATAAATATTTGTTGCGGAATGACAGATAAGGGTAACACTATATGCCCCCTACCTAAGTCGCGGGAACCATAAAAATTTCTTTCAATTGTATAATTAAAAGGTATCAAAACTTGTTGTCTTGCTAAGCATACCTCCACTAACAATTCAAAGTATTTAGAAAAAAGGAAGTATGTGTCCAACAAACAAGAAAAGCACACACACACACATTTTAATTCATCACTGTTGAGGTGCTGACCAAATATGGAGTCATTCTGTTTAAGCACTATTGGAGAAAAATATGAAGAAAATTTTGATGGATAGATGCACAGAAGGACGGATGAAAGGATGGACAAACAAACAAATGAACAATATAGCCCCCCTTAGAAGAAAGTTGTGTATATTTTCTGTGTAACATCCTTATGTAAATTATCCAATGTAAAAAAAGTGGCCTATTTTTATTGATGGAGGTAGCCAGAGAAAACTATCGACCTTTATTAGGAAAAACTGGTAGTCCATGTTACTAAAGATCGAAGTCCAAAGCACCTTGCCATGAGCAGGGGTATGTACTCAACTTTAGTGTAGACAGATTAGTGATCATTGCAGTCAAACAACTAAGATCACTTGGCTACTGAGGCCCCATGTATAGATGTATATAATTTGATAACAAGAATGTGTCCATAGTACACGGATGCCCCACTCGCACTATCATTTTCTATGTTCAGTGGACCGTGAAATTGGGGTCAAAACTCTTAATTTGTCATTAAAATTAGAAAGATCATATAATAGGGAACAAGTGTGCTAATTTTCAAGTTGATTGGACTTCAACTTCATCAAAAACTACCTTGACCAAAAACTTAAACCTGAAGCGGGACAGACGGACGGACGGAAAAACGAACGGATGCACAAACCAGAAAACAATCGTAGGTGGGGCATAAAAAACTTCAACATGGAGTTTTACCACTAGAAAACTGAGGCAGTTGTGTTGTAAAAGATGGAGACTTACTTCTGGGAGACGACACAGCAGGACTGTTATTACCACTACTCGAAGCTGTGGAATCCTTCCTTCCAAACAATAAAGCCTTAAGCTGGGCCTCAACATCCTGCACACTGTAGTTACTGCTGTCTGTAAACAACAAAACACTTTTATGAAAAGATTTTGATCGAATTATGCTTATACCAACATTTCAGGATTTCCCTGTTTAATAAATAGAATTAGCACTCAAAGGATATGTCAGTTAATTACTTTTTTCAGTCTAATGCCAGGTTTCAATTCTAAGTATATGTTAACATGGAAATCATGATAAATTTATTTTAACTACTACTCAATCAAAACTTTTTTTCGTTAATGGCTGCTTTTATGTTTAAACTGTAAACATAGATTCCAGATTTAAATGCAACGACTTTTCATGCAGGGGTTAAATTCATGAATCAATGACTAATTTGCACTTTTAATATTTAAATATTTTTTACTTTTACAAACATTTCATGTGTTTGATGGACCTTTCCTTTCAGGATTTTTCTATCCAGTATAGGAAAGTATGCAAACTTCAACCAGGTTCATTACCTATGTTGCATATTTTGTTTAAGTTAAATAATTAAGTCCCATCATTTCTTGAACAATCACATCTACAGTCCATATAACCTTAGAGGGATTTGCTATCGAGGAGTCACCGTTTGTTATAGTGCATGTTCAAAATAAGCACAAAGCAGTTGCTTGGTGGGTACGAAGCGTTTACTGGATTTATTTCAAAAACCTTTTTTTACAACATATTTTTGCGATTGTTTGACATATTATTGGCCTTTACTGCCCAAGCAGCATGAAAAGTTTAATAGAAGTGATATGTATTGAACTGCATTCTCCCAACTCTTCGTGTTAACTTGCAAAGAACCATTTCTGGTTGACTGGGGCAAAAGCTCATCATTTTAACTACTTACTGCTATCATTACGCTTGTGATGTGATGATGATCCAGAATTCTGGAATATACTGTTCAACATTGGAGCTATAATGTTTTTCTGTGAGACAGACATGTCCATACTTATACACTGTGGTTTGTCAGAGAATGTGCTGTTGCCTGGTGTCATGAACACAGACTTATCGTACATTGAATTAATTGTGTTAGGTGGTGGTGATGGAACAATAGGACTTTTGGTTCCACTTAGTAGTTCTGAAAATACATTTAAAAGAGACTTACAATACAAATTTCTTACTCAAATTGATTCCAAAATTTTGGAAATCTAAAAAAAAAATTAAGGCCATTTCATGAAAACTTTTTGAATAAATTTTTAATAAAACATTAAAATTTAATAAATACACAGTAATACAGTGAATTTCCTTCCATGAACCAGCAGTACACCTATAAAAAATTTTGAACATCAAAAATTAAATATCACTGGAATTTTCTCAATTTTCAAAATAAATCACAAACTTATTATAAAATTAATATTTGTCTAAAAATAAACTGACCATTGAGATATCCAAAGTCTTCATTGATTGATGATCTGCGACTGTTCTCTCGGCTATTACCCATACTGCCTCCACCATGATGGGAAGAGAACCAGCGACTGAACCGACTCTGGAATCCAGTCTGTACTTCAGCAGTGGGACTACCCCCTTCCTACAAAGTCAATATGTACTATTGTAATACTACAATCAAAATAAAATATTATCAAATGTAAAAAACACAGAATTTAATATCAGGAGACAAAGCGGTTTATAAGCATGATTAGCCATGTTCCTTTACAAAAAAATCATGTCAATATTTATTAGATGCTTAGACCTGACAAACCAGCATAAAATGTTGATGAATTTGACCCATTTGTATGGACTTTCAACAATCTAAATTACAGGGGTTCTTTGCACAAAAAAACTTGTGACAAAAAAAGATCTTAAGTTATACTGAAATGCTTATGACTAACAAGTTCTTTTTCTCTAAGAGCTGTTTTCCTAATGCTTGTAGTTTAAAGGTTTGGTTGGCTTGCTTGCTTTGTTTGTATGAATGTTTGCTCAATCATTGTAATTTAGATTGACATCTGCAATCTATAGATAGGTTTTTTTTTTCCTTTTCCAATATCACTTTTGCAGGATAAGATACAAGGTAAAGCTACTCTTTTCCTTGAACATGACCTACCCAATTAGAATAATTTTAATACTTACATGAGCAACTCGACAGGTGCCACATGTGGAGCAGAATTTGATTACCCTTCTAGAGCACCTGAGATCACCAACTGTTTTGGTGAGGGTTCCTGTTGCCCAGGTCTTTGGTTTTCTATGTTGTGTTTTGTGTGCTGTAGTTTGTCTCTTGGTTGTTTTTTGTGGTTGTTTTTTTGGCATGGCAAGTTCAGTTTGGTTTGATGTTCAAATAGTGATTAATTATTAAGGAATCAGAGCTACATGTTTGATAGTTGATACCAGAATACATACATTTAAGCCTGGGAGATTTTCTATCTTGAAGAACTCATTGAAGTCAAACAAGTTTGTTGCCTGCGGTGATGGGACATGTAGACTGCCAGAGTTATTTGATTCCTCAGGTGAACTTGACTCGTTTGTCTCCAGACTTCCATTTCTTTCCTTCACATCGGCTACTTTCACTTCTGAACTTTCTGTAAAACAAAACAACACCTAAATTGTGCTTTTATAAGACAAAAAGATGAGAACTTAATGATTCATCAGACAAAAAGAACAGCACTTTCTTTTATTATTTTTTCTGCATCAAAGATTCATAGATTAGTCCTACATTAATTTTTATTATGATTGACTTTTTGGCTTTTTATGCCACTTTCAGCACTAATGGCTTTATTGAGGCGGTCAGTTTAAATTGGTTGAAGAAGCCTGAGGGCACAGAGAGAACCGACTATCTTCAGCAGAAAACTGACAATCCTAGTCAATTAAGATAAGAGTTAAATGCACCTGCCATGTGCTATTCTATTATAAAGCTGACCTTTTAAGAGCAGTAGTCTATCAATAGTCCATCATTACAAATATGCAAAAAATGCACTTTACAGAGCTTAGCAACACAATTAATGGTTTATGGTAATCAACAGGTATTTCTTCTTATTTCTACCGCTGCATGAAACAGGTCTTTCCGAGATCATATACAAAATTGTAAATGTCACTCTGTCTACTGCTGCTGTTCAAAGAATGGTCATAATATACCCTGAGCACTCCATTTTTCCAAAATTACTTTAACTTACTTCAATGATATTGTACATTGCATAAATGTTCTCCTTTCATACTTAACAACTATCACTAAATGCAACTAATCACAGGACTTTTACTTGTCATTAGCAACATGAAAAGTGCAATAATTGGAGCAGAAAGCGTTTATTTTTTAACACCTGAGTCCATCCCCTAGTTTTAGCGGAGTTTGCATTTCTCAATTTTTCGACTACTGTGTAATATTTTGTGGAATGTTTTTTTCTTAAATTGCCATGGTGTTGTCTTGTCCTTCTTCAACATGGTCTTTTCTTCTTGCCCCCTTGGTACCATATTTTTTTTTCAAAAAAATTCTGCATTATTAAAAACAAAGTTTCCTTACTATTTGATTCATCCTGTTGAGCCTCCTCGTGATATTCCTCATCAAATCCAGTATCCATGTTGTTATCTTCTTCTTCATCGTCCTTGCCCTTCACAATTTCCTCTTTGACCTCTCTGGGGCCTTCAAATCCATGAAGTTCTATGCGATCATTTTGACTGGTGGGCCCCTCCGAGAACCATTCTGGTTCCTCTTCTTCACGGTGACGGTAGGAATCGTGTCTGTTACGACCTACAATTGACAGAAATCGCTTAAATTAGTTATGATACTAGCCAAATTTCATGATCTGGACATGGTTAATTACATTACTTAAGAAGTACCTGCGTTTCAAACTGAAAGACTGACTAAAACCATTATACAAAAAACAGAATTAAATAAATGTGGATAGTGTCCACATGTGGACACAGATGATGCCCCCGCTTGCATATCATATAGTTATAAAGGGACATAACTAAAGAACGGTAAAATTGACGCTACCCAAATTTGAACTTGATCTGAGTTTTGTGGTAATAAGCATTGTGTGTAAGTCTCATAACATTTGGTTGAGGCAAACTTTAGAGAACAGAAACTAAAAATTCAGCAATTTTTCTATTTGTAAACACGCATAACTCTAGAACAGTTGTGTATAAGTTTTATAGCATTTGGTTGAGACAAACTAAAGTTAGAGAACGGAAATGATAAATTCAGCAATTTTTCCATTTGTAAAGGGGCATAACTCTAGAACGGTAAAAGTGACGCCACCAAAATTCGTACTTAATCTGTATTATGTAGTAATAAGCAATGTGTATAAGTTTCATTACATTTGGTTGAGGCAAACTAAAGTTAGAGAACGGAAACAATATTTGTACTTGATCTTAGTTTTGTGGTAATGAATATTGTGTATAGGTTTCATAATGTTTGGTTGGGGCAAACTTAAGTTACAGAATGGAAACTAAAAATTTTGCAATCTTTCGATTTATAAAGGGGCATAACTCAATAATGGTTAAAGTGACACTACCCAAATTCAACTTGATCTGTGTTTTATCAGTGGAAGTCAAAATTAAACATTGCATTGTATAAAGCATTGATTGTAGTTGATTCAACTATACCCTACTAACTTGTTATCTAAAATTAACACTAAATATAATATCAAATAAATAAAAAAATAATCAACAAATTTCTTCTATCATACTAACCATTGTCTCTGCTGAAATGCCGACTGAAGTCCCTCTGAAAAATGATAAAAAAAATCATCTTAAAATATAAATGAGATAGTTGGTTTCTTAGGTAAACAACAGGTTGACTGTCCAATCATATCAAATCAAATCGTGAGATTTAGTCATTTTGGAAGAATGAACTTTGTACCAGCAAAATTACAAAAATTTTAAAGTTTTTCCATAATACCTTATACATGTAGCAGGTAACTTTCGCATGGTGTTGATTTTTGAGAATTTTAGCCAATAAACAAACAAAAATATGTTCGGTACTTTGTAATTGTTGAGGGCTGTCGATTTGGGTGCCTTTAAGTTCTTATAGCAGTGTTTCTTTCACTTGACTTTTATGAAGATAAAGTTTGATTTGTCCCCATACTACAGTGCACTAATTTAACATAGAGTCAAATTTGTTTGTCAAATATGTTCTTACAATAACATACTTTATTAGTACATCAAGTCCTGTAATTTTTGTTAACTAATTAGCCAAAACAATTATAAGTGTTTTGTACACTAACCAGTGACAAACACCTAGGTAATCCTAAGATCAATTGTTTACACAACAACAAGATATTTAATGAATCAGATGTCAAACAGGTATTACTCAATCTCTATCAATCAATCATATAAAAGCTGTTCCAGATTAAATGCATGGGGGCACTTTTAACAAGAGTGCACACGCTGAAATGTCTCACCTGTTTTACTGACCAATAATTTTATGTTGATAGTCCTAAATACAGTCAGAGATATCTCTATAGGGTTATTACAGAAAATAACTTGTGTGTGTTATTACAGATACTTTCATGAGTTGTCTACTCTTTATTCCTTAAATTTTCTAAATCTGCAATAACATATGTTTGTTATTTGGAAAATAAATCAAAAATATTTTAATTTATAATATAAAATTAGCTGTAATAACATAGCTTAGTTATTAAAGGAATGTAACCTATTATATGAGACACTTGGGAATTACTGGGAAGCTTGCGCAGAACCTCATTACATGCTCTGGTCATTATTTCTTACAATAAATTAAAATACATTGTAATTAAGCATGATGTATGTCTGAGAAAATGCTTTGGAGTGATATAGAGAATCTGTGATAACACCCTTAAGTTATTACAGGCATATTTTTTCTGTAATAACATATAGGTGTACTATGCAAAATTGGCAAACTATGAACTGTTATATCTTTCTATAGTTAAGTATACATAAAGACAATAGTAATATCAATAGAACTTGTATGTATTTTAACCAAACTAGTGATGTATATTGTCCCTTTGAAACATGCAACATACATATGTTATCACAGTTCTTTGATTTTTTACACCAAATATAGTAGACCTATTGCTTATAGCATCTGAGATATGGACTTTACCACGAAAACTTAACCTTGTTCACTGATCCATGAAATGAGGTCGAGACTCGAGGTCAATTGAAAACTGTCTGACAGGCATGAGGACCTTGCAAGGTACGCACATACCAAATATAGTTATCCTGTTACTCATAATAAGAGAGAAATTAAAATTACAAAAAATCTTAACTTTTTTTTCAAGTAGTCACTGAACCATGAAAATGAGGTCAATGACAATGGACATATGACAGACGGAAACTTCATATCATAAGGCATCTATATACAAAGTATGAAGCATCCAGGTCTTCTACCTTCTGAAATATTAAGCTTTTAACAAGTTAGATAACGCCAACGCCGAATCACTATCCCTATGTCGAGCTTTCTGCAACAGAAGTCACAGGCTCGACAAAAACTGAAAACAGAACACCAAGAACTGAGGGAAAATTTCACAAAACCAAAACTGCAGTAAATTGTTTCCCCCTTATGACATGCTGCTTTCTCTGTTAAAAAGATATGCTAGAAAATCTTGTGTGTAGCACACATTTGAGTGTAAAATACACTTTGAAAACATTACTCTGTAATGTCATTGTTACCAACAACATTTTTATACAATATTGTAAAAACAAACTTTACCCTGTCATCATACTCCCTTCTATAGCCTCGATTGTCTCCTCTGTTATCATATCTCCTATCTCTGTCATCAAATCTATCACGGATGGCCCTATAGTCACGTTCACGTTCTCTCTGAGGTTCACGTTCTCTTTCTCCTCTATCTCGATCTATTTGTATTCTACCACTACCAATACGTCTCACATTTCTGTAAAAAAAGACACGTAATTGTCCACATTGTCTTTTATCTTTGGTCTTTAATTGATAATTGCAGCATAGTCAATTATACATGTATACAACATCTCATTATTTCTATAGAAATTTTATGTATTTATGATAGGACTTTTTGTAAAATATTCAGATCCATCACTGTCTACTAATTATCTATCCTTTACCTAAAATAATTTAGAACATCAAATGTTGAACAAATAGATCTTTTGCATTGTTAAGATATAATGTTGTTTTAAGAAGTGCATGTTTGGAAGTGTACAGGGATATCAATTTTAGAAAAATTGAAAAGATTATAGATAGAATTTTTTTTACCATAAACCACTTGCCAGAGAACATATCTGTTCAATCCAGCATTTACTAACAAACAAGGAAAATAGCAAAGCAACCAGAATATGGAAATAGTTCTGGACACAACATAAAGAATTTATGAACAATTTTGAACAGTGGTTTATCATTATTCTTATTTTCTTTGTTCCATTATTATGTACCTGTTGTCGTCCTTATAATCTGCAGGACAACTAACTTGTCTTGTCATCATAGGAGCTGTCACATGACATCCTGTCCCAAAACTCCTCCTCTGGGGACTCAGAACTATACCATCTTTTTCTTCTTTGAGTCTTTCTTTGGGATCTGTCATAATTAAGAATGAAATACATAATGTTGCCTTGTGGTCATAAAAATTATCACTCTCAAGACTCAAAATTCATCCAATAAAAATACTGGATTTGGTGTTTCGAGCACAAACTCTGTACTCTTTGAGTACTGAATAAAGTTTGAAGACCAAATGGCCTGGTCTTTATGTACATCCAAATGTAGAATCTTCACCAATGATTACATTCTATTTATATGATTAACTTGTAATACCATCATGGTTCCTAAAGTACATTTCAAGTAGTAAGTATCTTTACATTCAGGTACATCATTTACCAAAGAAGATTTTCAGTGCCAATGATAATCATGATAATGCTAGAAATAACGGTCACTTAATCCACTCCTCTGCTTTTTTTCGGTCATTAAGCCTTTTTGTTAACATTTGTAGAAAAGAAAAGAACATGATTTTAAATGATTAAAGTTATTGGAAATAGAGTAAACCTAATATTTAATATTAAATCTCTCAACTGAATAACATACACTGCATAACTCATTTCAGCCTCAGTTTCATAACATTAAACTGATTTATTTGAAAATTTGTGTCAGCCATTAGGTAATAAAATGTTGAGCAGAAACACCAACAGGTATTTTAATAGATAGACAAGTATCGGATTTATTCAAAATAGGGAATCTACTTTTTACATATCAATTCAACTTTTTACAAAGTGTCATAAAAATCTTCCTTACCTGATGGTCTTCTTTTGTTTAAATAGTCCGCTTTCTTTTCTTTGTCTCCTAAGTTCAGAGGAGACAACCTGTCTCCAACACCACTATCGAAAGATCGAAACCATTTCTCTGGATCCCATAAACCCTCTGTGCTGAAAACACAAAAAAAATCATTTACAGATTAAAAAATAAATGATGCCCCCGCTTGTAAGTATACTGCAAATTCTGCAATATTTTAATATACAAAGGGACATAACTCAAGAACAATGAAAGTGACGCCACCCAAATTCAATTTGATTTGTGTTTGGTGGTAATAAGCATTGTGTATAAGTTTCACATCAGTTGGTTGAGGCAAACTGAAAGAGAGCGGAAACAGCAAATTTAGCTATTTTTCCATTTATAAAGGGACATAACTCTAGAGCAGTGCAAGTGACACCACCAAAATTCAAACTTGATCTGAGTTTGGTAGCCATTAGCATTATGTTTAAGTTTAATACATTTCATTGAGGCAACATAAAGTTAGATTGCCGTAACTTCAAATTTTCCATTTTTTCCATTTATAATTAAGGAACATAACTTGAGACAGTGAAAGTGACGCTACCCAAATTAAAAAAAAAAGTAAAATAGCAAAAATACCGAACATTAAGGAAAATTCATAACAGAAAGTCCTTTAAATAAAAAGCTCAAACACATCAAACAAATGGAAAACAACTGTCATATTCCTGACTTGATCGATCTGTGTTTGGTGGTAATTAGCATTGTGTAGAAGTTTCATAACATTTGGTTAGGGCAAACTACAGTTAAAGAATGGAAACTAATTTTGGAAAGAACAAACGATCTTTAAAACAAAAGAGTTCTTTACAAAATCACTAGAGTTATCTTTCTTGATACATTAAATTGATCATCAATATACAAGGGTAAAACTTAATGGCCCCTCAGCCACGGCATAAAAATTTGGTTTGTCAGACTTTATTTTGTTATTGAAAGAACTATATATTTTCTGAAAGATTTGACAGATATAAGATGTAAATCAGTTGTAAAAGTAGGAGATTCTGCATGCTTACAACTAATGTATTTTAACTTATAATTATAAGTTATCGCTATTTTATCAATCTTGCTTTGATCTTTTTTTAAAAATTAATTTTTCATATCAAGCTTCTAAACTGAAATTGAGAATGGAAATGGGGAATGTGTCAAAGAGACAACAACCTGACCAAAGAGCAGAAAACAGCCCAAGGCCACCAATGGGTCTTCAACACAGCGAGAAAATCCCGCACCCTGAGGCGGAGAATGTTTTTTTTTCTATTGTAGTCGAGAATTCGAAACACCCTTTTGTTTCAAAACAATAGATCAATAATATATATTTTTCACCATGTTCATGGCAAGGTATTGTCTGTTTAAGATTTTACAATGAGTGTCATTACATTTATTTTAATAGGTTTAAATGTAGCTAGGGGCTGTTCCCTTTAAAATTGATGTGGGAGGCTCTTTTAGTTTATTTCTGGACATGGGTCCTACACATATATTTAAATGGAAAAGCCCTAATATTACAAGATATGATTGCATACTTATCATAATCTGTAGACAAACAAACTGGTCTTTTCTTTGCTGTTTTACTGTTGCTAAACTCATATAACTGGTCCTGTAAAATCAAGATACAACCAATCACAATGTATCATTTTGTTTTCAGTATTAACATTATTAGAGTGTTAGCAATTTTAAAGAACTGTTAGTCTGACAGTGAAAATATAAGAGAATATAGTTATATACAATTAGATTAAAAACAAACAACAGAACGGTTTGGGATGTCAAATTTCATTTCAATATTTGTTATGTGTGCCACTAAACATTAAGCAACCAACAATCAATCAAATTTCATTTCAGATATTGTCTTTTAAACTGGATATATACGTTTGAAGGATTCCAGTTTTAACAACTATCTCGGGCCAAAAATTAAATTTAAATTGTTTGATGTTGCCTAGCTACCTACCCAACAAATTTTATGACAGAAATCGTTTCAGATTTTATAAAAAAAATATTTTTTCTGCTTTGACATTGTTTTCTTGTATAAAACATGTATCCCATGTTGTTGGCCAAAAAAAAATTCCCTACCTACCTACCCAACACTATGAATTTTTAAGGGTGGCCTTGGCTTGCCGTCTGTTTTCATCTTAGAAATGAGTTGCCTAAAAGACATATTTGTTAAATTGTCAGCCATTGTGTGAAGTATGACTATGGAACCCTTGACTCAATGTATTCAATATACATATAAAAATTTAACATGTTCAAACTGTTATAAATTTGTTTTATGAGCTTGAATTCCATAATTTAGCATGTCCGTTTTGCCATTGGATGATAAACACAGCAAATTCAGGGCTATAAAAATTCTTTATAAAATCATGTAATGAAAAGAGCAAGTTTGTACTGCAAATCCCTGCACAAGATAAAAAGTCAGTTTACAATAAACTGCTTCGCTGAGCGCAGCTGGATACCCCCACAGAGGTCCAACCCTGAACAGTTTGGGCAAAAATGGACACAATATTCAAGCTTGAAACAGGTCTGAATTTGGATTGTAATTAAATATTTGACATATTATAGGTTTCTGAATAAATGTAGTCAAAGAACTTGAAATTGGTTATATGAATTGAATTTATATTCAATTAAAGATTTCTTGATGTTGTGCAATACACTGTGATGTTGCACAATACTTAGTAAATCTGTTGTCAGACTATAAACAAATAAGGTTCAATTAATTCTCAATGTCATATTAGAAATTTATGAAAATGTAAAGGGAGCTTACATCAATAAATATAAACAATTCACCAAAGTTTCATGAATATTGCTGACAGCATTTTTGAGTTATTATCCGAAAACTGGAAAATCCCCCCTTGTTAATGAATAAAACCCCATAACTCAGAAATGATAAATGAAAAATTTATAAAATTCTAAACGGAGCTTACATCAATAGATATAAACAATTCACCAAAATTCCATAAGAACTGGTGAAAGCATTTTTGATTTTTTGTCCGAAAACTGGAAAATCCCCCTTTTTTTATGAATAAAACCCTGTAACTCGGAAACATAAATTCTAAAATATATAAAAATCGAAAGGGAGCTCATGTCAATAGATATAAACAATTCATCACAATTTCCTGAAAGTTGGTGAAAGCATTCTTGAGTTATTGTCCAAAAACTGGAAAATCCCCCTTTTTTTAATGAATAAAACCCCTTAACTCGGAAACGTAAAATCTCAAATTTATAAAAATCGACAGGGAGCTCAAGTCTATTATCTACTATCATAGGCTGGGCATAAAAATACACAATACTTCCTAATTCTCTGACTTTGCCAGTTTGAGCTGTTACCATGTTTAATTCATGTTGCGTTTGTCTTACCACATAGACTACAAATATATACTAGTGCCTGGATTATTAGACCTTGACCCTGAAGATGTTCCCTAATTACCCTAGTACTTGACCAGTGTTCCTTGTTATTGGATTAAGGCTGCAATGGTCTTTCTTTTACATTGTTTTGCATATTGTAAGGAGTAAATACAATGTAAATTGTAATGTGTTTTGATGCAAATTGGTCCAGCAGTTCTGTACTGTACCTCTACCATTGTCTACTGAATTGTTTCTCTCAAGTTGTTCCTATTACAACTTACCCTACTGTAAATATATGTAGGTGTAGGTCCAGGAGTATCAGACCTTGTCAGAACAACCTCTCTTGGAGTATTCCTGCCGCTGTCATCAGAATTAAATTCTTTTTCCATTCTGAAATAATAAACACTAAACATTCACATTTCTCACTCAAAAAATTTAATTCCTTCAGAAGAGTACACAGTACATGAAAATGTCTCATGTTGAACTAGAAGCATACAGGACTTGAAGATTTTTTTCAATGTTCAATTTCCCATGCGAAAGTATAAATAAAATATTTCTGTTCAAGTGCAGCTGAATCAGCTAAGGGGATTAGATGGTAAGTCACTTTTGGATTGTCATCCTGTACTCTTATTCACCGACAGCTTATGTGTATGCAGTGACCGTAATGATAACACTCTCATCAGAACTTCTGCAACCTCACAACGCAAGTGCAAGAGAAAAACCATGATGAAAGATAAGTAAACACATGTTGTTTGTAGATAGTATTAATTGATTTTGAAATAAAAATTTTAATACATCAAATCATTGAACAACTGTTAAGACATAGTTTAATTAAAAATGCGAATGCATGGAAAATGTCAAAAAAAAAAATGGGGAATGTGTCCATGGCACACAGATGATGCCCCCGCTTGCATATAATGTTATAAAGGGACATTGCTCAAGAACTGTAAAAGTGACAATACCCAAATTTGTACTTGATCTGAGTTTTGTGGTAATAAGCATTGTTTATAAGTTTCATAACATTTAGTAGAGGCGAACTTTAGAGAACGTAAACAAAAAATTCAGCATTTTTTCCATTTGTAAAAGGGCACAACTCTAGAACGGTAAAAATGACACCACCAAAATTCGAACTTGATCTGTGTTTTGAGGTAATTAGCATTATGCATAAGTTTCATAACATTTGGTTGAGGCAAACTAATGTTAGAGAACAGAAACAAATATTTCAGCAATTTTTCAATTTGTAAAGGGGCGTCACACTAGAACGGTAAAAGTGACGCCACCAAATACAAACTTGATCTGTGTTTTGTGGTAATAAGCATTGTGTGTAAGTTTCATAACATTTGGTTGAGGCAAACTAAAGTAAGAGAAAGGAAACGAAAATTTCAGCAATTTTTCCATTTGTAAAGGGACATAACTCTAGAATAGTAAAAGTGACGCCACCAATATTCAAACTTGATCTGTTTTTTGTGGTAATAAGCATTGTGTGTAAGTTTCATAACATTTGGTTGAGACAAACTAAAGTTAGAAAACGGAAAGGAAAAAATTTAGCAATTTTTCCATTTGTAAAGGGCATAACTCTAGAACAGTAAACGTGATGCCACCAAAATTCAAATTTGATCTGTGTTTTATGGTAATAAGCATCGTGGATAATTTTCATAACATTTGGTTGAGGCAAACTTAAGTTAGAGAACGGAAACCATATTTTGGGACGTAGAGACGTAAGTACTGATGGACGGACGTACAGACGGACAAGGGTAAAACTTAATGTCCCCTCCGCTACGGCAGGGGCATAAAAATAACACTACTCTATCATCTCACTGATATTTCATGTGCTCTATGACTCTGTGCTGATTGATTATCAAGATCTGTTAATTTTGGCCCTGTGTTGGCACCAAAACCTTAAAGTTAACAAGCATTCCAAGAGTATTGCATGGCAATACATAGTCCCCTACCGGTTAAAAATAAATTGTACTGGAACAAAATGATAACTTGATCTATAACTTGTCATGATGTAAACTATACAACAAATATCAAGTCAATATCTTCCAGCATGACGAAAAAAAGTGACGAAAACTGATTATTTGAGTGAAATTTCTAAGTCCAAGGACCATAACTCTGCACAAAATCATCAAACTGAAACAATATTGGAACTTGATCTGTAGCTTGTCGTGATAAAACAATATACCAATTACCAAATCAATATTTTCAAGCATGACGAAAACAAGTGCGGAAAACTGATTATTGAAGTGAATTTTCTAAGTCCAAGGACCATAACTCTGCACAAAATCTACAGACCGGAACAAAATTCGAACTTGATATGTATACGATGATAAAACAATAAACCAAATATCAAATCAATATCTTCAAGCACGAAGAAAAAAGTGTGGAAAACTGAATTGCCGGACTGACAGACAGACGGAGTGCAAACCTAAAAGTCCTCGTCGGTAGGGGACTAATTAGCAGCCAAAATTTCCAAACAACAATAATTGAATGAAATATTTTTTGTTGATTATATATATCATGTATATGGATTCTTAAAAAATGTAAAAAAAAAATGAAAAAATTGCAAAGCGGCCTAAGTTTAGTTTATATGCACCCCTATATTCAATAATTTCCTGAACATTACAATTACAAGAAACTTGTTTCATAAAACTAAGTTAAAGTCACCTGATGATAAGCCCTCCATAACTAACTATCAACATACTATGAAATTCTGCATATAATTTGCTAAACATTATGATACTTTTCTCATGGAGTCTAGCATGCAGGACTCAATTAAATTATTCAAAGACTTGTTATGTCTTGAGAAAGAGAGCAAGATACCAAAGGGACATTCAAACTCATAACAAACAAACTGAATTGTTTAACATTGGGGCCTTTTATAGCCGACTATACAGTATGGGTTTTTCTCATTGTTGAAGGTCATACAGTTGCCTATAATTGCTTACATCCACTTCATTTGAAATTCTGGTGGATAGCTGTCTCATTGGCAATAATACCACCTCTTATTTTTATATTGATGACAACATGGCAAAAAATGAAAAAAGACCAAAACACAAACAACAGTATACAAATCACAACATAGAAAACCAAAGACTAAGTATCACAAATACCACCAATTGAGATTTGACTTACATGAATGAAGGGAAGTACTAAACACAAAACTCCATTCTATTCCACCTGATACTACTGGGTTATTTTTTAAAAGAGCAAAAAAACTTTCCTGAGCCAGGTCAAAATTATATGACACAGGGAAACTCACTGATGTTCCAGTTAAAATCAATTATCATGATATGATTATCCTGATCAAATTTTCTGTTTACATAAATGTCAGAATATACATGATATAGATTTAAAAATAAGAAGATGTGGTATGATTGCCAATGAGAATATTCTCCACCAGAGACCAAATGACATAGAAGTTTACAACTAAAGGTCACTATATGGCCTTCAACAATGAGCAAAACCCATACCACATCGTCAGCTAGAAAAGGCCATGAAATGACAAATGTAAAACAAATAACTATTCAAAGAGATAAACTGTTATCACAGAGATATGTCTCGCCTATTTGTTATTTTGATAATGCAAATATTGAAATTAAAATAGCAATACTTTAACATGTAAGTTATGCAAATATTCAAAGTCAATGAACCATGACTGAAGGTACAGGGCTAAACAATCTACATGGAAATGAGATGTGCCAATGCTAATACAACTGCATACCAAATACCATTGACTTTTCATAAGTCGTTCCCTTTAAACAAACCTAAACACAAACATTAACTTGTAAACTATGTAAAAGTTTCAAAGTCAATGAACCATAAATAAGGGGGTAGGGTTATATAATCTCCATGGAAATGAAACTTGCAAATGCCAATACATTTGCATACAAAATATCATTGACTTAACATTAGTGGTTCATCTTAAACAGACCTAATCACAAACTAATACATATGTAAACTAAGCAAAAGTTTCAAAGTCAATAGACCATGACTGAGGGGGCGGGGCCAAATATTCTCCATGTAATGAGATATGCCAATGCATATACAACTGCATACCAAATATCATTGACCTACCACTAGTGGTTCCCCATAAACTGACCTAATCACAAACTAATACATGTAAACTAAGCAAAGTTTAGAAGTCAATAAACCATGACTAAGGGGGCAGGGCCAAATAATCTGCATGGTAATGAGATGTGCCAATGCTAATACAACTGCATACCAAATATCATTGACCTACCACTAGTGGTTCACCATAAACTAGACCTAATCACAAACTAATACATTGTTGACACCACCGCCGCCCCCACTGGAAACAGCATACCTATGTCTCGCTTTTTGACTCTGTCAAGGCGAGACAAAAACTAACGACCTGATTAATGTACAAAACAATGAAAGAAAACCAAATACGATACATGTATACAGCAACAAACGACAACCACTGAATTACAGGCTTCTGACTTGGGACAGGCACATACAAAATGTGGCGGGGTTATTCATATTATTTTAACCTATTTACGTTTGATATACATGTACCTAATGCTGTGAACACTTCTGGTTTCGCTATATCTAAATTCTAAATTCAAAAAAGTACAATATGGAAATAATTGTGACTAACTACAGACCAATAAACAGTAAAAGTCTTCAATTCGTACAGTGTACGTAATATATTAATGGTGATATTAACGTAAAAAACACAGGTTTGTGGTGAGGAAATTGGTGAACATTTTCCTGAATAGACTTACAATTATGTACATGTGATGAGGATTAGGAATTCTGAGGGCGGGCAGACCTGCCAACTATACTGATTCCCCCATGAGAGGTGTTGATCTGAATTTTGAAATTCTTTATTATATAAACTGAACACCTGTAGCAAGGCTCAACACCGCCGCCAAATCAGAAAATCTCTACGGACACAGAATCCCAAAAGGGATAATGGCAAGTGTGACAGGATTATTTCCAACAGTAGATACTTGGCCAGCTGTAAGTGGTTGCACTAAGAACTAAGTATTTAGCTCAGGTGGTACTTCATATCCCGGGGGAAACAATGTGACTTTGTAATGCGAATCATGCTCTTCAGTTACACTTACAGAGGAAAAATAGCTAAGAGCTATATATATATTGCCTTACAGATTGGCCATGTAAATAGAAATAAGATGTGGTATGAGTGCCAGAGACAACTCTCCATCCAAGTCACAATGTGTAAAAAGTTAACAATTATAGGTCAAAGTACGGCCTTCAACACAGAGCTTTGGCTCACACCGAACAGCAAGCTATAAAGGGCCCCAAAATGACTGTTGTAAAACAATTCAAAGAGGAAAACCAACGGTCTAATCCACTACAAACCAGTAAAAGTCTGAAATGGCCTATATCTGTACTCGATTGTACTGATTTTTACTCGACCAGTCTGAATTGGTCTAAATTTTACTCGACATTACTCGACCCCAGTCTTAACCATACTCGACTGTACTGATTTGTACTTGACCCTTATCTTTGCCATTGAAAATAGTCTGAACTATTACTTGACCAGTCTGAAACAGTCTTAACCCATTCTCGACCTGTACTCGACCTATTTTTTTCAGTCTGAACCATACTCGACCAAAGTTCTGAACAATACTCGACCAGTCTGAACCATACTTGACCAAATAACCTCTACTTTTTCTAAATTTTAACTGTTAAAATAAATTTCTTTTTAACTGACATGACTAACATGACAACAGCCACAATAAAATAAAGATATATTATGAAAACAGATTTTTACATTCTTACATGATTCTCGAATTTATGGAGATAGTTAAATCAAATTATCTTATATAATAATTTAATTATATTAATTTTAAAGTTTTAGAGTTTTGTTAAAAAAAGATTTTCTTTTACCTAAAAACCACACCTATACTGAGGGTAATTAAACCTTATTAAGGTGCTTCTTGTTTGGCATGTGTTTTTTTTAATTAATTTTCCTAAATTCCTAAATAAAAACTAATAGGTTTCATGGTTACATACAAAAAATGTACAATAGTTATATAATTATCTTTTTAATGAGGTAACAACAGCCAACAAAATCACTGAAATTGTTTAACCTTATTTTAGAAAATATATCTATTATTATAATTTGGGATATATTATATACAATGTATATCAAAAAGGGATAAAAATTAAAGAAATTAATAAAATTATTCTTCTGATTAGTGGTGAAGTATAAAGTAATACCTCCTGCTTGGGGCAAACTCGTGAAAAAGATCACACCTGGTCAGAGAGTATTAAATTCTAAATAACATTCATTCAAAATTGCAACATCCTGTGAAACTTAAATCGCAAGGCCTTTTGAATTCACTAGATAAGTAATACACGAGTTTAAGAAAAATAGGGCTTTCTTTTTACCTGTAAAACACACATGTACTGAGGTAATTAAACCTTATTAAAGTGCTTCTTGTATGCCATGTCTTTAATTTTGACAAAAATTATTAAAATTTAATTGAAATAAATTTTTACTGTAACTTTGGAACACATTTCCTTTTTCAAAAGTTTATCACAGGATTACTATGGAAGTTCTATTATCATGATTATATTAAATTCTTGGTTTAACAAAACAAAGGTGTCATTTTTTAAATTTATTAAGTTGCTTTATATGCTATTTTATATATATTTTAATAAAAAAAATGTTCACTGCATTATTAACTAAACTCAACTGACACCATAAATCCATATGAGGCTAAGTTAATGGTGAAAATTATCCAGTAATCATAAAATATATCTGAAACATTCAAAAAATTTTGAATAACATTGAAAATGTTAGTACCAATTCAGTTTTGAGATTATTTGATCAGTTTGTTTTATTTTTATTTTAAAGGTGATATATATGTATGTATATAAGTGTTGATGAATATGGTGATGAAGTTATATTATGTTTATTGTGAAATTTTGGTTTCAATGCTATATTGAATACATTTTTAATTTCAAATTGTTGTTCAAATTTCTAGCCAGGGGAAATAGCTGTTGTTAAAAAACAGTTCCTAAATTGATGAAATACAATAGATAGATACAAAAAATAGGTCTAGGTTGGTTAAGACTTGGTCCAGTATGGTTAAGACTAGGTCGAGTATGGTTCAGACAAGGTCGAGTATGGTTCAGACTAGGTCGAGCATGGTTCAGACACGTATAAAATGGTTAAGTACTGGTCGGGTAAGGGTCGAGTACAAGTTCAGACTGTTAAGTATGGTTCAGACTACAGTCGAGTATTATCTAGTAAATTTCAGACCAATTCAGACTGGTCGAGTAAAAATCAGTACAGTCGAGTACAGATATAGGCCATTTCAGACTTTTACTGGTTTGTAGTGATCTATATACAAAACAAGAAACACTTATGAACCATATCAACAAACAAAACCACTGAACAACAGGCTCCTGACTTAGGACAGGTGCAAACAAATGCAGTGGTTTTAAACGTTTTTAACAGGTGCCAACCTTCACCCTAACCTGCAACAGTAGTGTGACATTACAAAATAGAAAGAGGTAACCTATACTACTGATATTACTGCCACAAATCTTTGTAAACTATACTCTGTGGTACTAGAAAGAGGCAACCTATACTACAGATATTACTGCCACAAATCTTTGTAAACTATACTCTGTGGTACTAGGAAGACTTAATTTGAAAACGGTAGAATGGCTTAAAAAATTCTGTCAGTTGTAAGTTGTAACCCTATCTTTAAATACTAATACTAATTAAATTTGTAAACAATTTTCAACACTTCTGAAAAAAAAACCCACGGAAACGAAACACTAAAAATGATGCAAGACTCGTGACATTAAAGACATTTTGACATTTTAGAATGATTAACCTTAAACAAAGAGTGAGAACAAGAGTATAATGTCATTGTTTTCATCTATGTCGATTTTTGATTGATGGCTTACCTTCAGCAGGGCAGAGCCCCGTTTGTGAAGATTTACACGAAAGACAATACACAACGAAAATGTTATATAATGGGAAACTAAAGTATATCTAAATATGGTCTGGTTAACTATAATGTCGCCCTAATACATGCTGAAACAGATGATACATAGTCCACTTTTGAACGGTTGCAGTACAACATCGGAAAATGTTGGAAATCGCCCGGATACTTGCATGCGCAGAGCAAGATTGACCTAATTTCCATTTATAAGGTCAAATTTTGCAAAATTTCACCATTGAATGCAATTATTGATTGAATAAAACGAGAGAATAAATAATATGCCTTCTTGCAAAAGCACCTTAGATTTGAAATGCACACGTTAATCTGTCTTCCAAATTTTTTTTCTATAAAAGTCGTCTTACAGACTGCTTCCGGGTCATTTACTGCATTTGGAAATCTTCAGACTTTTCCATCAACTATTATTCCGAACGAACCAAATTACAACACATTTTCCCTCAGTTTCTTCAACACATTTTCTCATTTTTTAACACTCTTATACATTGAGACACTACTGTAAACTTCATAATGGGTATATTGGAAAGAATATCAGAAATTGAGGCAGAGGTAATATGAGTTTTAGGCTATGTAAAATTCTGGAGTACCCCTTTTTTCATTCATTCTGATACCATGGTGAAATATTAACCCATAGAATGAAAAATCCAATGTACTTGAAAATCTCCTACTACCCATCTATAGGGTTAATCCTTTGAGTACACTAGTGAAATATATGTCCTTTGTCAACAGACTAGGCCTTCACGATAAACTTTTGAATCCACAAGTCCGAAGCTCAATTTTACAAAAATATTAGTTGGATTCTGTTGGCTTGTAGAGAAGAATTTTACAAGCCCGAAAGCAAATTTACAAGCCTGGGCTTGTGGTCTTGTGGTTAAGCGTGAAGACTGCAGACTATGTCCACTTGGAATGACCGATATATGCATTATATAGCACCTTAGTCTTAGATTGGCAAGCATAAAATCTCGCTTTGTAGCTACTAGTTCTTGATTCTCCTTTGAGGGAAATGATAAATTTTTTTATAAGTGTTGTTATTACTTCAACATGTTCAATAAAAATGAAAATCAGCTGATGACTTAGAAGATACTATTAAATATGTTGACGATTGTTGTTAACTTCTACATGTACGTAATTTGGTTTCTGGTGGAAAGTTGTCTTATTGGCAATCATTGCACATAGTCTTATTTTTTTGTAAAGTGTCCTGCAATCACTTAAATATTATGTTCTAGTCGGTTTTGAACAGGTTTTGCTTGATTTTGTTGACCGGCAGCCCAAGTACGCCTAATAGAACATGGCCAACATCTTACCCAGCATTCCCTGTCTGGATTAATTAGGATCCCATAAAATTGTGTTAATCTTATTAACTAATTAATAACTACATGTATCTATAAGAAAGTCTTGTATATTTTGCTTGTATTTGTTAAAAGGATCAAAAATCTTCTAAATATTATATTTAAACTCGTTATCATATTGAATATTCTCAGGTTAACATTGAGGACAATTTCTGTATAACATTTATTGATCTGTTGATTGGAGAGTACCACAAATTGGTGCTAGTATTGCAAGTAATTGAACTGTCAATTGGACGGGTTAAATGATTAAATATGTATATCACAAGCATTTTTTTTTACAAGTGGTTGGTTTTGAAAATAATAAAATGTTTATGGTCAAAACGAGTATTACCTGCTTCTTTGAAGTTCAGTTTTGCCTAATCATTTCATGCTTGTTATAATTAATGCTTCTCTGTCATGTATGTGGTGGACTGGTTGTCCTTAGATGATGTCTTAAAGGGACAATAATTGTATAGCTTTAAATACATTGTTAGCAAAATATACATAGTTTAATTGTGAAATAATATTAGACTCAACAATTTCTTATTTACAAAAATTTGGAGAATGAAAGAAATCGCTAAGTTTTCTGTTTATATTTTGTGCACCTTCAGTGTTAATATGCACACCGCTGTTGTCGGCTTTGTCAAACATAGATCTGATGATTGTGCCATTTTTATAAAACAGTTTCTCCAAATCAACATAATCTACATTATCTTCTCGAGCGCACAATTTTCTTATAAACTTGTTGACACTTGTTGCCGATTGGTTTAATCTGTTTATTTGCGCACTGTTACCTTTACGTGGTATGATGCTACAAAGACCAACATGAGACTCTGGATAGGCGGACTTCACTTTAGCTATGGCTTTTGTCACAAGTAAATTTATTTGGTCACTATTATCCTTATGTTTACTTATGTCATTGGTCCCGAGACAAATAGCAACTTTATCTACTTTGTAACTGTCTGTTTTCTGAACAGCAAGGTCTAGACTTTGTGTGAAATTTTCAAAATTTGCACCTGATTTCGAAGCATTTAATAAATTTTCATCGGTTTCTCCGAGTCTTGTACAATTGGATGTGCCAATAAGGACATTTAGAGTATCAGGAGTGTCATTTTTCCCACTTTCGGAAAAGGTATCGTTATCACAAACAGAATGTGTATCTGAGTGTGCGTCTATTTTAGTTTCTTGTCTACCCTCAATTATTTCCGGACCATGCTTACTATAATCTTGATTTTCTTGGTCTTGCTTGAAACTCTCACAGTCTCGTCTAGGATGCCCTTTTATGTTGCAGTAAGAGCAATACGGTTCATTCGGGCAAGCATTAGCTAAATGACCAATAGCAGCACAGTTATAGCACCTTCGCTCATTCATAATTTTTGGACGATCTTTACATTGATATGAGGAATGACCGATCAACTTACAATGAAAGCATGGTGTACGGCTATTGTCAGCAAATAAGAGGACTTCAAAGCGGCCTAGGCTAGTTCTGAGAGGAAGAACAGGCTCACAGTTCAAGATATTGATATACCGTGCCCCATTTTCTATTTCTATCGCTTTTATATAACCTCTTTTGACAGAACCGGGAACAATTTGACCGAATCTTATCATTTGTGCAACAATATAACGATCGTCAAGTTCGTATGGAGCGTCTTTTATGGTAACATATGTAATTGATTTTTCTACATCAAAAAAGTTAACTGACCTGTTTCTTACTGTTATTCCATTTACCGGTACTACCAACGTATATTTTGACTCTACATCTTTAATACAGCCCTTTTCTGTAATTTGTATAGATCCAACATTGTTTATATCGATTTGTTTACTTATTTCTGTTAACATTTCATCGTGTTTAATCCCTTTGAAATCTTTGGTATAAAAATGTATGGATAATTGTCTGCTTACCCTCGACATTTTTCAGTGAGTTGAAATCAGGATGTCAAAACAGGACACATAAACAAAGTCAAATTATGCATATACTGTGCAAAAAGTCATTATCTTTGTTTTCTAAATCCTTTTGAAGAACAAACATATGAAAATCTTGAAAAAATTGGCACCAGAAATATCCAAAACAAGGAATTTAAATTAATTTTCTGCTGCTCAAAAACTCACACGTCCATTTACAAAGGGACAGCACTCTATTCCTCTGGTCTATTGACTTTAAAACTTTTGCTTAGTTTACATGTATTAGTTTGTGATTAGGTCAGTTTAAGGGGAACCATTTGTGGTAGGTCAATGATAATTGGTATACAGATGTATAAGCATTAGCACATCTCATTTCCATGGAGAATATTTGGTCCTTACCCCTCAGTTATGGTCTATAAACTTTGAAACTTTTGCTTAGTTTACATGTATTAGTTTGTGATTAGATCAGTCTAAGATGAACCACTTATGTTAAGTCAATGTTATTTGGTATGCAAACGTATAGGCATTTGCAAGTCTCATTTCCATGGAGATTATATACCCCCACCACCTCATCATGGTTCATTGACTTTGAAACTTTTACATAATTTACAAGTTAATTTTTGTGTTTAGATTTGTTTAAAGGGAACAACTTATGATAAGTCAATAGTATTTGGTATGCAGTTGTATTAGTATTGGCACATCTCATTTCCATGGAGATTGTTCAACCCTGTACCTTCAGTCATGGTTCATTGACTTTGAATATTTGCATTCCTTACATCATGTACGTGTTAAAGTATTGCTATTTTTATTTCAACATTTGCATTATCATAATAACAGAAAGGCGAGACATATCTCTGTGTTAACAGTTTGTTTTTTATTGTCGAGCCTTCGACTTTTGTCGAAAAAGTGAGACATAGCGATCCTACATTCCGTCGTCGTCGTTGTCGTCGGCGGCGTCCACAAATATTCACTCTGTGGTTAAAGTTTTTGAAATTTTAATAACTTTCTTAAACTATCCTGGATTTCTACCAAACTTGGACAGAAGCTTGTTTATGATCATAAGACAATATTCAAAAGTAAATTTTGTAAAAAAAAAATTCCATTTTTTCCGTATTTTACTTATAAATGGACTTAGTTTTTCTGCCAGGAAACATTACATTCACTCTGTGGTTTAAGTTTTTGAAATTTTATTAACTTTCTTAAACTATCCTGGATTTCTACCAAACTTGGAAAGAAGCTTGTTTATGATCATAAGATAGTATCCAGAAGTAAATTTTGTAAAAAAAAAATTCCATTTTTTCCGTATTTTACTTATAAATGGACTTAGTTTTTCTGCCAGGAAACATTACATTCACTCTGTGGTTAAAGTTTTTGAAATTTTAATAACTTTCTTAAACTATCCTGGATTTCTACCAAACTTGGAAAGAAGCTTGTTTAAGATCATAAGATAGTATCCAGAAGTAAATTTTGTAAAAAAAAAATCCATTTTTTCCGTATTTTACTTATAAATGGACTTAGTTTTTCTGCCAGTTAACATTACATTCACTCTGTGGTTAAAGTTTTTAAAATTTTAACAACTTTCTTAAACTATCCTGGATTTGTACCAAACTTGGACAGAAGCTTGTTTATGATTAAAAGCTATAGTATCTAGAAGGAAATTTTGTTAAAATTTTGTTCCATTTTTTCCGTATTTTACTTATAAATGGACTTCCAGTTAACATTACACACAGTCTGCAGTTTAACATGTTTAAGTTTTTAAAACATTTATTAGATTCATAAACTATCCTGGATTTTTACCAAACTTGGACAGAAGCTACTTACAATCAAAAGATAGTATAGAGAGGAATATTTTTATTAATTTTTTTCCTCATTTTTGTTGAGCCTGCGATTAACAGCAAAAGTAGGCGAGACACTGGGTTCCGCGGAACCCTTACAAATTTTTTGATTATTTTCTGTACGTAATATATATATCAGTTAAGATGGTATCATGAAGTCCTCCTGCAGGTATTTTCTTTTTAGCTGTTATGAAAAACTCGGAAAGGGAATAGATTTGATGACGTAGACTTTTAAGTTTCCAAAGCCATAAGGTGCTTAATTCTGATCAATCCAAAAAATTTGGACTTTTCAAAATTTAGTCTCATTTTTGATGAATACTTTCGGAAAACATTGCAGGTAATATTTTTGGATTCTTTTTTGTAGATGGCAAGAACCCAGAAAAACAAAGCAACAATGGGACATCTTGGGTTACTGAAAGCTCGCCTCGCTAAATTAAGACGTGAACTTATTGAACCAAAAGGTGGAGGAGGTGGTACTGGAGATGGTTTTGACGTTGCCAAAACTGGTGATGCAAGAATTGGTTTCGTGGGTAAGAAATTACTTCACATTAGGCATAAGCATATAACATAGTCATGCTAATGTTTGAGCAGGTTGAATAATTTGTTATACATTGAAAATTAAATGTTAATCTGATTTTGAAGAAAAATTTAGTCCTTCACCATTGTTCATGTTGTTCACAAATAAGCATTTTGAAAACATTGCCACAGCTTTCAATCAGTTATGGGTAATTGATTTGAAGGTAGAGTTTTAAATGTACATGTGAGTAAAAACATGAAAAAAGTCATATTTTTCTTGTTTTCTTTCTCTTGACTACATTACTCTAAAAAAGTGAAAACAACACTTATATAATCTATAATTGTTTGTTGTTAATAATTGTCTTTACTATTCATGAAAGTATAATTCATGGACAATGAAAATCTCATTTATCTGTAGTCTAACTTATCTTCAAACTACTGTTCATTTACTAGCCTCCAGCATGTCAATGGGAGCAATTTGTGAAAGGCTTTGCAGAGTTACTTAACATCTTGTGCCGTATGCATAGATTCTTGAGATAAAAGGTTGAACATGAATTAAAAAAATATTAGCATTTTAACATGTTTAAGGCATGTTTTGACATCCCAAAATATGAGAATTTTAAGGATTGTAAAAAAATACTCTATAATATAATTATATATTAGGACAATAATTTTGGATTATTCGAACCTTGAAAAGAAAATTAAAATCTTTTAAATTTACATGTACAAGTAAATATTACTTTATATATCTTCAAGAAACATGACTTGTGTAAGTACTACCCCTTACTGAGTCAAATATCAGTTATATGTTTTTTCATCAATAGGCAAATAAAAAAATTTAATAAATTATCACAGCTATTCAATGAATGAGAATGATTGATAGATTGTTGTTTGCTTAATGTCTAGTGGCAAATATTTCATCTACGTTCAGGACAAGAACAAATTATCAATACCGATAGGTAGGTCCCGTAATAGGGGTCTACCAGGATGAAGGGCAGGAATATGGGCTGCCAATGGAAAAGGAGGTTATATATTGGATAGGGACAGAAATTTAGCTTTGCAATGCTACAGGCCATCTAAGGACCGTTACAGTTGTTGCAAGGGTTCAGAACTTGCTGAGACCATGGCACTCTCTGATTTATCTTCCCCATTGACTGAGTCATGTACATACTAGTTATTATTTGTATTGCAGGTTTTCCCTCAGTCGGGAAATCAACACTGTTAAGTAACTTGGCAGGAGTGTATTCTGAGGTAGCTGCTTATGAATTTACAACTTTGACAACAGTACCAGGTGTCATTAAATATAAAGGTGCTAAAGTCCAGGTAAGTTACATTGTATTATGTTTATCTTTTAATATAAATTTAAACTGTAATTATATAAGGTGAACCAACACCCGAAGTAAAAGAGAGGCGAAAGATACCAAAGGGACATTCAAACTCATAAGTCGAAAATAAACTGACAACGCCATGGCTAAAAAAGAAAAAGACAAACAGACAAACAATAGTACACAAAACACAACATAGAAAAATAAAGACTGAGCAAGTAATGATTGTGCGAAAGGGGAATAAACGAGTGGATTGTCTTTGAAGAAGTAAGAAATAATCGACTTACTGACAAAAACATTTTGTTTCACCTGAAGATACCAGGCTTTAGGATGAAACATGTTGACCAGTAAAACAATTACTTCATGGGAATTTAAGAGTTGTTTTACATGTTTTTAGTGTCTGTTAGATAATACAAATTTGAGTAAAATTAACACTCATTTCATTTTTATACTGGGATATCAAAATGTTATGCTTACGCCATTAAGAAGCTGATGTTTATTTGTTTTATCTGTTTGATGGAATTACCTGCTTTTCTATCTGATATATTGCCATCTGGCCTTTTTATTATACCTTCACTCATAGAGTTAGTGGTATGCTGCAATCACGTTGTTTGTCTGTTCATCCTTCCAATAATTTAGTATATATTACTCAGCTTCTTTATAAATATTTGGATTGATTTCATATTTTGCCGTGTTACAAACTTTCATATCTGCTTGATAATCCATTCTTTATTTGTAGTAGTTTGAACATTGTTGAATTTTTATTATATGCCCTGAGCATTGAATTTTTCGTCAATGTCTGATAATGAGTAGGGGAATTCTGTGCACTAAATTACATGACGATTTTTGTTTGAAGTTGCATAGTAATGACTTACAGATCACGTTAACAATTCATTCTAGTAGACCCACAATGTATTTTTGATGAAATTACAGCCCTTGGACTTTTATGGATCTCTATGTGTCCCTTAATTGAGTATTTGCTTCAGATTTTGGACAGACTTTCAATAACATGTCAATATCAATGGGGTACAGATCCCATTTATGCTTTTTCCTGAAATAAACGTCCTTGCTGACCTTATGAAGTTATGTAAAATCAATATTTATGTATAATCCTCACCCAGTTTTTCTTCATGACAATTCGCATGTTATTCACATATGGTTAACTATTATCAAACACTTTCATGGAATAGATTTGATCATTACAAAATTCTTGTGTAGAAATTGAAACAAGGAACACATGAACATGATAAAAGTGATATTTTACATTATTGTAGTAATTTAACAATTTTACCATGTTTCGGCCACTGGCATTCTTCTAACCTAAGCTGTAGACAATCCACTTTTCACAATCATTTAAATTTTGTACATTTAGATCCTTGGCAATGTTATGATGTCACAAAATTCACAGCACCGAGAGGGCCACATTTCAGCAATTATTTATTGTAAATTTTGATGTTTTTTTTCTAGCTCCTTGATTTACCTGGTATTATTGAGGGTGCAAAGGACGGTAAAGGGAGAGGAAAACAGGTCATTGCAGGTAAAATTACAAGCTCATTTCTTAAAATATATAAAGATAAGGAGAAGTGGTATGATAACCAATGAGACAAATATCAAATGGACAAAAGGACAAAGATGTTAACAATTATGGATCACCATATAGCCTCAGAGGCAGATTTAGAGGGTTTTTCAGGGGGGTCCCAGGCCCCCCCTTTTGTGGTAAAAATTTGGTTGATTATATAGGGAATCACTGAAGCATGACAGGAGCAGGCCACCTCTTAGGCAGTCAGTGGGCCCCACTTATGAAAATTTCTGGATCCGCCACTGAGCCTTCAAGAATGAGCAAAACACATCAGCTTTGAGATCCTGGATAAGAAAATGGGGATAAAAAACAAAATGCCTTATTTCAGCAGATAACATTAAATAAAAAACAATTAAGACAGACAGCAACCAAACACAACCACTGGGATTCTGGCTTTGAACAGGTACATAATATGGAAAGCTTAAAAAGTTTATGAGCGCTTAACCCTCCCCAATAAAAGGGACAGTGTTTTAATAGCACAACATAAGAGGTTCATAATAAGAAGTCTTGGTAAAAGAGATCTGGTAATATACATATTCTGACACTGTCTTTTACCGAATGAAGAATGTCACTTTATTGGAAATTTTACTTTACTGGGGATTCATTATTATTTGTTAATTTTTGCACATTTTAGGGATTGCTGCAGTAATTTTAATAATGAGATTTACATTTTAATTTTTATGACTTACATATATTTTATTTAACACTTTTGTTCAAGTTTACTTCCATACCTACTTCCACTATTTACATTCACCATGGTAACATTGCAACTGAATTTTATCACTTCCCCATTTTGCATGATTTTGTATATTGTTTTTATCCCAATGACAGTGCCAGAGGCACCGAAACATGTGGATCTCATTTAATTACTGCAGCAATCCCTAAAGTGTTATAACTGTCTTTAGGTTTATATACTTTAGGTCCTTTTTGGTTTGATCCGCACTTCAACATTTGTATTAGATTTTGGATATTCAATTTGGCCTCGAGCATTACTTATCGAAATGCACATTTGGTGCATTAAAATTTGTATCGTTAATGTTATTATCATCACATGTAATTAAAAAAGTTTCAACGAAAAAATAAGGTAGCTAGAAAAATATGTTTGATTCTTAATGTAGTTTCATGATAAAGTAGAACGGTGATGGATAGTATTTGTCTCGCCTTGACAGAGTCAAAAAGCGAGACATAGGTATGCTGTTTCCGGCGTCGGCGACAGCGTCAACAATGTATTAGTTTGTGATTAGGTCTAGTTCATGGTGATCCACTAGTGGTAGGTCAATGATATTTGGTATGCAGTTGTATTAGCATTGGCACATCTCATTACCATGGAGATTATTTGGCCCTGCCCCCTCAGTCAAGGTCTATTGACTTTGCAACTTTTCATAGTTTACATGTATTAGTTTGTGATTAGGTCAATTTATGGGGAACCACTAGTGGTAGGTCAATGATATTTGGTATGCAGTTGTATTAGCATTGGCACATCTCATTACCATGGAGATTATTTGGCCCCGCCCCCTCAGTCAAGGTCTATTGACTTTGAAACTTTTCATAGTTAACATGTATTAGTTTGTGATGAGGTCAATTTATGGGGAACCACTAGTGGTAGGTCAATGATATTTGGTATGCAGTTGTATAAGCATTGGCATATCTCATTTCCATGGAGATTATTTGGCTCCGCCCCCTTAGTCATGGTCTATAGACTTTGAAAATTTTGCTAAGTTAACATGTATTAGTTTGTGATTAGGTCAGTTCAAGGGGAACCATTAGTGGTAGGCCAATGTTAATTTGTGTTCAGTTGTATAAGCATTAGCACATCTCATTTCCATGGAGAATATTTGGCCCCGCCCCCTCAGTCATGGTCTATTGACTTTGAAACTTTTGCTTAGTTTACATGTATTAGTTTGTGATTAGATCAGTTTAAGATGAACTGCTAATGTTAAGTCAATGATATTTGGTATGCAAATGTATTAACATTTGCAAATATTGTTTCCATGGAGATTATATAGCCCCACCCCTGATCATGATTCATTGACTTTGAAACTTTTGCATAGTTTACAAGTTAATGTTTGTGTTTAGGTTTGTTTAAAGGGAACAACTTATAATAAGTCAGTGGTATTTGGTATGCAGTTGTATTAGCATTGGCACATCTCATTCCATGGAGATTGTTTAGCCATGTACCTTCAGTCATGGTTCATTGACTTTGAATATTTGCATAACTGACATGTTAAAGTATTGCTATTTTAATTTCAACATTTGCATTATCAAAATTACAAAAAGGCGAGACATATCTCTGTGATAACAGTTTATTTTCTTTTCTTATTACAGTGGCAAGGACGTGTGGTTTGATTTTTATTGTGCTGGACGTTTTGAAACCTTTACAGCATAAAAAACTGATAGAAAAAGAATTGGAAGGCTTTGGTATACGACTAAACAAACAACCACCTAATATAGGATATAGAAAGAAAGAAAAAGGAGGAATAAATTTGCAAACACTTGTAAGTAGCAGAAACTTAAAAAGTGTCTCTTGGTATTTGATTATCTCAGAAAAATTGTAGAAATGTTTCTGTTGGGAGTTTCTCAGAGTGTAATTCCTAAAAAAGTCATTTGTAGTTTTTGATTCTCTTAAATAATTAAATAAATATATTAAACAATAAAAGAAATTTTCTAATTCTGCCTAGGGACATTCTCAATTTGAAGTAATTCCAAAAAAGAAACCATTTTTGGTTTTGGATTGTCTCAGAATAATGGAAGAACTTTTCTAATGTTTTGCTTTCAAAGTTCTCACAATGGAAGTAAATCCGTTCAAAAGAAAACAAACTTATTATCCAAAAATTTATCAAAATTGATACCATTGGCAAAAAGTAAAAGTCAAAGGATTTTGGAAAATGTTGTAGTTTACTTTTACAGCATAATGAAAGGTATTGTATATGAAAAATAATAATTTGGTATGATTGCCAATGAGACTACCGGTACTCTCCACCAGAGACCATATGACATGGGGTTATCCACTGTCTGAATGCTGTATTTTTCTAAAATATAGTTTAAAAGGTTTGTAGAGAGTATTGGTTATAATTTTATTTAAAAAAATGGATGCTTTAGAATGTTTAAGAATTTAGGACAAATTTATTTTATAAATGTTTGTTGTGGATGTCATTTTTTTCTACAGAAAAAGGGTTCTGTAGCTAGAGAAGGCAAATTATTTTGCAGTCGTCTCCCTTATACTGTGTAATATAAAGTTATAAAAGTTATTTACATACAGTTTTTGTCTCACCTCAAAGAAGTCAAAGAAGGCATGCTCTTTCCAATCAACTTTGACTCATAAGTCCGAAGCTGATAAGTCAATGTCATGATATTTGGTATGCAGCTGTATTAGCATATGCTATCATTTCCACAGAGATTATTGGCCCTGCTCCTTCAGTCATTGTTCCTGAAATTTGAAGGTTGTGCATAGTTTGCATGTTCTAATGTTGCAATTTTAATTTCATTTTTAGCTCACCTGACCCGAAGGGTCAAGTGAGCTTTTCTCATCACTTGGCGTCCGTCGTCCGTCGTCGTTGTCTGTCGTCGTTAGCTTTTTACAAAAATCTTCTCCTCTGAAACCACTGAGCCAAATTTAACAAAACTTGGCCACAATCATCATTAGGGTATCTACTTTAAAAAATGTGTCCGATGACCCCGCCAACCAACCAAGATGGCCACCATGGCTAAAAATAGAACATAGGGGTAAAATGTAGATTTTGGCTTATATCTCTGAAACCAAAGCATTTAGAGTAAATCTGACAAGGGTAAAACTGATTATCAGGTCAAGATCTATCTGCCCTGAAATTTTCAGACAAATCTGACAACCTGTTGTTGGGTTGCTGCCCCTGAATTGGTAATTTTAAGGAAATTTTGCAGTTTTTGGTTATTATCTTGAATATTATTATAGATAGAGATAAACTGTAAACAGCAATAATGTTCAGCAAAGTTAGATCTACAAGTAAGTTGTCATGACCAAAATTGTCAGTCGACCCCTTTAGGAGTTATTGCCCTTAATAGTCAATTTTTAACAATTTTTCGTAAATTTTTGTAATCTTTTACAAAAATCTTCTTCTCTGAAACTACTGAGACAAAATTAACCATACTTGGCCATAATCATTATTAGGGTATCTAGTTTAAAAAATTTGTCCGATGACCCCGCCTTCCAACCATCATGGCCAACTTAGTTAAAAATAGAACATAGGGGTAAAATGCAGTTTTTATACGACCGCAAAAAAATTTTTGTGGTCGTATATTGGTATGACGTTGGCGTCGTCGTCGTCGTCGTCCGGCGTCGTCCGAAGACACATTGGTTTTCGCACTCTAACTTTAGTTTAAGTGAATGGATCTTTATGAAATTTTACCACAAGGTTCAATACCACAAAAGGAAGGTTGGGATTGATTTTGGGGGTTATGGTAATAACAGTAAAGGAATTAGGGGCCAAAAAGGGGCCAAAAATAAGCATTTTTGTAACTCTCAGACATAACTTGTGTGTTAGTGTATGGATCTCTCTGACATTGTACCACAAGGTTCCATATCACTAAAGGTATGCTGGGATTGATTTTGGGGGTAATTGCCTCCAAATTTTAGGAATTAGGGGCCAAAAAAGGGGCAAAAAACAAGCATTTTTCTAGTTTCATGACAATAACTTGTGTGTAAGTGTATGGATCTTTCTGAAATTGTACTACAAGGTTCCATATCACAAAGGGAAAGCTGGGTTTGAGTTTGGGGGTAATTGCCCTAAACATTTAGGAATTTGGGGCCAAAAAGGGGCCAAAAAACACATTTTTTTCTAGTTTCCAGACAATAACTTGTGTTCAAGTGTATGGATCTCTCTGAAATTGTACTGCAAGGTACCATACCACAAAGGGAAGGCTGGGATTGAGTTTGGGGGTGATGAATCATAATGGGGGTTCAAAAAAATTTGGGGGGGGATTTATTTTTTTTTCCTTTTTTGTTTCTTTTAAAATTTTCCATTTTAAGTTGGTTATTTCTGATTTATATTTAAAATCAAATAATAATGATATGGTAGGAGATACACACCAAACAGGATGTGTAAATTATTATATAATAAGTATTGTGCAATAGCAAGAAATTTTCAATTGCACAGTATTGCACAATAGCAAGAAATCTTCAATTGCACAGTATTGTGCAATAGCAAGAAATCTTCAATTGCACAGTATTGCGCAATAGCAAGAAATATCCAATAGCACAATATTGCGCAATAGCAAGAAATTGTCAATTGTACAGTATTGCGCAATAGCAAGAAATATTTAATAGCACAGGATTGTGCAAAAGAAGATACTTCCTATAAATTGCTTATTTCTTGACCAATTTCAATGGGGTTTTATTCTTGATTTCATGGGGTTCTTTAATATGCTGAATCTAACCGTGTATTTAGTTTTTGGATTTTGGGCCCTGTTTTTAAATTGGTCCACATTGAGGTCCAAAGGGTCCAAAATTAAACTTTGTTTGATTTCATCAAATATTGAATTATTGGGGTTCTTTGATATGCCGAATCTAACTGTGTATTTAGATTCTTAAATTTTGGTTCCGTTTTCAAATTGGTCTACATTAAGGTCCAAAGGGTCCAAAATTAAACTTAGTTTGATTTTAACAAAAATTGAATTTTTAGGGTTCTTTGATATGCTGAATCTAAACATGTATTTAGATTTTTGATTATGGGCCCAGTTTTCAAGTTGGTCCAAATCGGGGTCCAAATTAAACTTTGTTTGATTTCAACAAAAATTGAATATATGGGGTTCTTTGATATGCTGAATCTAACCATGTATTTAGATTTTTGATTTTTGGGCCCCGTTATCAACTTTGTCCACATTGAGGTCAAAAGGGTCCAAAATTAAACTTTGTTTGATTTCATCAAAAATTGAATTATTGGGGTACTTTGATATGCCGAATCTAACCGTGTATTTAGATTCTTAATTTTTGGTTCCGTTTTCAAATTGGTCTGCATTAAGGTCCAAAGGGTCCAAAATTAAACTTAGTTTGATTTTAACAAAAATTGAATTCTTAGGGTTCTTTGATATGCTGAATCTAAACATGTATTTAGATTTTTGATTATGGGCCCAGTTTTCAAGTTGGTCCAAATCGGGGTCCAAAATTAAACTTTGTTTGATTTCAACAAAAATTGAATATATGGGGTTCTTTGATATGCTGAATCTAACCATGTATTTAGATTTTTTATTTTTGGGCCCCGTTATCAACTTTGTCCACATTGAGGTCAAAAGGGTCCAAAATTAAACTTTGTTTGATTTCATCAAAAATTGAATTCTTGGGGTTCTTTGATATGCTGAATCTAACCATGTATTTAGATTTTGGATATTGGACCATAATAGGTGAATGTCCAATTTAAAATATTTAAGTTCTTAGACCACATTCAATCTGTGTTAGAAACCTATGGTGTGTCAAATATTTAATCACAATCCAAATCCAAAGCTGTATCAAGCTTGAATGTTGTGTCCATACTTCCCCCAACTGTTCAGGGTTCGACCTCTGCGGTCGTATCAAGCTGCGCCCTGCGGAGCATTTTATTGGTTTATATCTCTGAAACTAAAACATTTAGAGCAAATCTGACAGGTGGCAAAAATGTTCATCAGATTTAGATTTATCTGCCCTGAAATTTTCAGACAAATCTGACGACCCGTTGTTGGGTTGCTGCCCCTGAGTTAGTAATTTTACTAAAATTTTGCAGTTTTTTGTTATTATCTTAGATATCATTATAATATCTAATATCTAATACTGTTAATTATGATTTTAATCTTATTTTACATGATTTCCAAAGCATCAGTAAATACAGGTGAGCGACACAGGCTCTTGAGAGCCTCTAGTTATATACCTGTTTACAGGACGTATTATTGTATACTGTTGTCTGTCTGTCCGTCCGTCCGTCCATCCCTCGTCAACATGTCGGACTCAAAAATGCTTAAACCAATTTTTCATGAAACTTTGGTGAATTGTATATATATCTCTATTGACGTGAGCTCTCTTTTGATTTTTATAAATTTTATGTTTTACGTTTCCGAGTTATGGGAATTTATTCATAAAAAATGGGGGATTTTCCAGTTTTCTGACCATAAATCAAAAATGCTGATCAATCTTCATGAAACTTTGGTGAATTGTTTTTATATCATATCTGTCAACCTATGAAAATGAAAATGCAGGTCATAACGCATACAAACTTTTTTCAGCTGAATTTAAGTATTTTGGGCACATTTTTTTTATATTTCAAATCAAACAGTTTCCAAAACATGTTCACATGGTTAAGTATTAACTGAAAATAATTTAAAACTTTAATTTTATTTTTATTGTCAGTGAATTCTTGTTTTTAGGTTCCGCAATCTGAATTAGACATTGACACAGTGAGAACAATCCTAAATGAGTACAAAATAAATAATGCCGATATTGTGTTGAGAGACGATTGCACAGCAGATGATTTGGTGGATGTTGTGGAAGGAAATCGTGTTTTCATTCCATGTATTTATTTACTCAACAAGATTGACCAGATTTCCATAGAGGTAAGAGTCTTACATTTTATTACACCCCTGCTTTGAATGAGTGGTAAAGACAATTTTTTTAAACTCTAGGGGGATACAGAGCTTGGCATATTGTATAAGCACTTTGACATTTTTAAGACTGTTGAATTCCAAATGTTTTTTTTATGTAAGTTACTATGTCCTTGTTGAACATCCCACATCTCCCTTTATTTATTAATATTCACAAAACATTTCTTCTAGTGGCAAATTCTCTTTCTTGTCATACATATAATTCATTTCCTACTTGATATTTTTTAGGAATTGGATATCATTTATAAAGTTCCGCATTGTGTTCCCATATCAGCTCATCACAAATGGAATTTTGACGATTTACTAGAAAAAATGTGGGAATATTTACAACTTGTTAGAATGTAAGTATCTAAATATAATTAACAAAGAAGAAGTCCTGTTCAAATTTCTTTGCCTTTGAAACACTCATTTGATTATTTTCAAGCTTTATAGCAGTGATGATCATGATTATTTGAGTACCATCTAAAGATCATCTGTATTTTATGATGATCAGGTAATACATGTGATAGAAATGAAAATTTTACTTTAGATTTATCTCCCTTTGACTTCTAACAGCATATGCAAAATTGCATTTTGATTTAAGTCTGATTGTCAATTTTCAATTTTTGTCTTCAAAGTCCAATAATTATCTTCATTTGCAAATGCTAGAGGAGAATGTTATTCCTTCATGTATATCTACATAAGGTATACAAAGTTTCATTAAAATCCATTGAACAATCTAGGAATAGCTTACAGGAATACTACAACAAATTGCAATATTAAATTTAGTAAGTTCAATTATCTCCCTTTGTAACATTTAGGAACAGGATTATCTTCCTTCCTGCACTTCTGCAAGTGGTACACTACAACTTCATTAAGTTTTATCAATATCCAATCAGCCAGGTACAGGACAAAATCTTTTAAAGCTTAATGGAAATAATGAATGAGAGACTCCATTCTGTGTCATTCAGAAGACACACTGGTGTAAGATGGCTATGATGCTGCATGGTTTCCACAATCAAAAACACTTATTGGCCTTCTATATCTTGAGGTGTAATACCACCAAATCATAGTACGTCAGATCCAGTTTCATACGAAAAAGGGTCGAAAAAATATTCCCTTGAATTTGACAGGTGTATGAAATAATTTGAAATTAATCATACATTTCATTGCAGTAAAAAATTTCTGAGTCATTCTTGGGTGTTTCAAAGCACCATTCTTTTTTTATTTGTTGTTTTTTTTTAAATATTTTGGAAACTTGAGGTTACATGGTTACAAAAGGTTGTAAACAGGAAAAAAATGGGTGAAATTTGATTAGTTAACTTCCAGTGATGGTTAGTATCTTATGTGCAATGAAATGTTATGTGAAATTTTGTCTGTAGTACTGGACAGGATAAAACTTTACTCATGTCAAGTATTTATTTATTTGAAACAAAGATAAATTCTGTGCAATCTTTGAAAAGTGCCAATTTAACAAAGACTAATAGGGGAAAAACAATGGTGGTATTACTCCTATTTAGGGAAGCTGCACATGCACCCTTGACCTTGTATGTACTCTCATTTGTTAAAATTTCATGCTATTTCAGTGAAATATAGCAATAATGAAATATTCTGAGTGGATTGAGTCAAAAACACATTTTAAGAGAAATAGGGCTCTACCATGACTATTAGTAGGCTGAGCATGCCATACTCAGTGTTTTGGGAAGCTTTTTCTCCTTATTTCCTATATTTTGCTATCAAAGAAAACTTTTTCTTCAGTTATACTTTAAGAAATATTCAGTTAGAAGTAAATGAAATTATTTTTGATGCAGTAACAACAAATTATTCACTAAAGGGAAGCATTTTATGTCCCTCTCTGGAGCGTGGCGTAAACTTAAGTTTTACGTTAGGACTTATTGAAACCTCAATGGAGTCAGTAAACTTTAACATGGATAGTTTATTCAGCTTTAACACTTCAATTCCTCATTCATTATCACATTTCTTGCATAAATGTGTGAAAGTTACCCCAAAATGTTGATTTATTGGCCTTAAAAGTTAAAATTTTGAGAAAATGAGAGGTATAAATAGACCAAAAGGGACTTTAAAATTAAGCCAAAGAGGTCCATTAGTGGTATTTGACATCTTAGAGTCATCTTTTGTATCATCATCAACTATTTGTATGCAGATGAGATGAATATTTGATCATTTATTTGTTCACACTATATTCTATCATGATGCATCGTGATTTGGATTTTTCGAAGAAATTTTGCTCAAATCGCTGTAGAAGTCGTCTTACATTATACTAGATTTCTCTCAAACTGGAACTGATTATGACAAAACTTGACAGTTATGCTTGAAATAACCAGTATTAGAAAGAAAAATAATCACATTCAGTTTGTTCAACAAAAAAGTCTTCTTTTGATAGAAATGAAAATTTAATTTTAGATTTATCTCCCTTTGACTTCTAACAGCCTATGCAAAATTACATTTTAATTTAATATGTTTCAGTCTGATTGTCAGTTTTCAATTTTTGCCTTCTTTTAGCTACAAGACAAAATCTTTTAAAACTTAATGGAAATAATGAATGAGAGACTCCATTCTGTGTCACTCAGAAGGCACACTGGTGCAAGATGGCTATGATGTTGCAAGGTTTCCCAACCAAGGGGACTTATTGCCCTACTATAGTTTGACATGCATAATGTAAGGACATTTTGTATTGCATATCTTCATTTTACTTTGATGGGATAAAAAACATGGCCGTCATAGGCAACTCTTGATTCTGATTGGTCAGTTGTAAAAAATTGTCTCAGCTGAAAATTCAAGGACAAAACTTTTCAAACTTTATATGATGTTTTGAATGAAGTTTACTAGTTGTGTGTAGGTTTGATAGAAGACAACTACAGTGTCAGATAATCACCATTCAATACTTAATTTTATAGGATTTAAAATGATGCAAATGTGAGCTATTCATGCTATTGATGCATGATTTTTTATTATTAATTGTTTTGGCTTTTAACTAGCTGTCAGTAACTGCGAGTACTCTCAAATCGTACTTTCTTGTTTATTTGACCTGTTGATACTAATTGTATTGCTTTTTTGTTATTTAATGTTATTCAGGGTTATATCTGGTCTATATACCAGCTTTTATAAGTGTTTGGTATTACTATAAATTTTCACTTCGTACTATCATGACTATGAACATCAATATTATTTATTTTGTAAAAATATTTCCATTCTCTATTGGAATTGTGCACGTATACCTAACAACAAAATTATTATCATTTACCTGTGTTTAAAGTTATTGCAAATGGCTGATATTTTTGTTCGAGCATATTGTCTTTCTTTAATTGTTTAACTTTTCATACCGATATAACATGTTACTTTTATTATTCTTCCCTTAGTTTATTTTTGTATTTACATTGTATCATAGGTCAAATTTATTTGTTCAGTGTATGTTCAATGGTGTTAATATGTCCTTTGATTGAGTTAAGCTATTTCAGTTGATATTTTATAGTGTGTCTTTCTATGTTGTGATGTTACACTATTGTTTCAAAAAAAGGGTGAAGGTTTGGTACCATTAAAACGTTTAAACCCGCTGCATTTGTTTGCACCTGTCCTAAGTCAGGAATCTGATGTTCAGTAGTTGTCGTTTGTTGATGTGGTTCATAAGTGTTTCTCGTTTCTCGTTTTTTATATAGATTAGACCGTTGGTTTTCCCATTTGAATGGTTTTACACTAGTAATTTTTGGGGCCCTTTATAGCTTACGGTTTGGTTTGAGCCAAGGCTCAGTGTTGAAGACCGTACTGTGACCTATAATGGTTTACTTTTATAAATTTTGACTTGGATGGAGAGTTGTCTCATTGGCACTCATACCACATCTTCTTATATCTATTGTTGGAGCCTAAAGAAATTTGTTATCAGAATTATTTTTACTGATTTTGTTACAACATGTACCCATTCCTCTTACAAAAACATAAGGACCCTAAGTCAGGTTTATTATCTTTAAAAATCTGAAAGGTTGAGAGAAACTGTAATAACTGGAATAACTGTAAAACTGGAATAACTGATCAGCATGATCAGCAATGTGATATCTACAAATAAATTAACATTACCTTAATTTTCATTTTACTCTCCTTGTAGGAGCTATTACCCTTTAATGACAATGTTTACCCTTTATTGCATATTTGGATATTTGTTTGAAAACTGTAAAAGATAGAGTGAAAACAGCAAAAACAAACGGTTGAAAAGATCGTAAAATAAGCAAACATAAAGGATTGCACTCAAAGTGAGAGTAAATATCAAAAATGCATAATGTTGCCAGGTGTGCGAAACCATTTTGCCACTGTTACCAAATATGCAAAATTTGGCTATATAACTAAAGACAACCATTGATGAGGTTCCTGGCATGGGATAAGCATGCTATCTTTGTCATGGTTAAACAAGTTTTATGAGTACCAAACCCTCCCCCTTTTAATATTGATCTATTTTCATTTTTTATGACTTTTATTTTATTTAGATACACAAAACCTAAAGGTCAGTTACCCGATTACACAGCACCTGTTGTACTGAAAGGTGGAAGGAATTCAGTGGAAGATTTCTGCAACAAACTACACAGAAGCATTATGAAAGAATTTAAATGGTATGTTTAAATATGATTTGAAAATTCCAAACTCTCAAAAAATGGATACATGCCTTTCATAAAGAGTTGTTATTGATTACCTTTATCGTTCAAAATTACTGCTGTATTTTATGTATTTTACTGTGACTACTGGTAGGTTTTAATTGTTTCTCTATTGCAGTTCATTTAGAATTCTTACTTGTTTCCATTTGTCTCATCAAACCAAACCTTTCAACTGGTTAGAAATTTTAACCAACTGCTGTAGAAGCACTCAACTCCTCCTTAAGTCTTAAGGTAACTGTCATATTCTGGAGGAAAGGAGTGATGACTCGTATAGGCGAGATGCACAAAACATAACACTGTTCACAATGAAAGATTATATTAAGACATTTGTACTTATTCCATTAAAAAAATGATGACGATAAAATTAAATTTTCTTACTGTTGTGGCCTGTTACTATTTCTTACATGAAAAGATATTTCTGGTATCGCACTGTAGGGAGTGTGATAGGAAAAAGTGATACGAATAATGAATTAATTTGATTGGCTTATCCAGCTTCATAAGACTATATAACAACATTTCCATTGGCTATTCGTTAGGCTATTGATGACTTTCAGAGGTTAAGGCAATTGAAGGCAACAGACAAATGTGATTTCTTCAATGATATAAAAAAACACTCACACTTTTCACCAGAAAATCTTCTTTTTGTCAAGTTTTATTACATTCTGAAGCGAACAAAAAGTTTTAAAATGTCTGATGTTTAAGCCAGAACAGGACATATGATGTCATTTTTGTATGCGCAAAAGACTAGCACAACGATTCACAGAATTTTTTATTTAACACAATAAGAGCGTTGACCATAAGAGAAATAGGTTTAACAACTCATGAGAAATGGATACCGCTTAATATCAAATCTTGATTTTTTAATTTAGATAGTAATAATAATACTAATAATATATAATAGGCTCATTTATTATTATATTGAAATTAAATAACTCAAGTTGATGTCAAGCGATATCTAATTCTCACTCGTTATGAAACCTATAATTTCCACTTGATTTTATTCATTTGTTGAGTGTTATAAAAATCATATTACCATACAGCAGGATTTTTTTAATAGTTGGTATAAAATTTGGCGGTTTAGGTAGAAAATGTATACGAAAAATTATGGCAGATTTCAAAATTGTAAATAGTTATGGTGGATGTGGGACCAAATGTAAGTCAATATTTGTAAAATAGATTGTCAAGTCCTGTCAATCTATGATATAATTCTGTATGAATTAATAAGTTAATTAAAAATATTTGTTATGATTATAAACAATAAAAATAAGTATTAAATAAAAGAGTGTTACTTGATTAAGTAAATTTCATGAATTGTTAAACATCTAATTTATTTACTTAAAGTCACTTATAGAAAATCAGAATAATATCTGATTCACTGATTATCCTGTTATTGTGTATACAGTGATTTATAAGATTACCAAGGTATTTGTCACAGGTATACAAAAGGCTTACAATTGTTATGGTTAATTATTTATGAATCTTACAGGACATTTGATGTACTTATAAAATGGTGTTTTTTTTAAAGATTATTTTAATTGACAAACAAACTGTATTTTATATATGACACTAATTAATAATTTGACAAATAATATTTAACTTTATATAAGTCAAGTGAAAGAAACTCAGTTATTACTGAGAGGGGGATTGCTTGTTTAAGATGTTTCCTTTTGAGTTTATATTGTTTAAACTAACTTGTACCACATCATTTGGTCTCAGATAGAGAGTTGTGTCATTGGCAAATGTACCACATGTTCATATTATTTATGTACCATTGTTGACCTGCTGCCTTAAAAAATGTTCAGAGTGTAAACCAACTTATTTTTGCTGATACTTTATTTCCCATTTAGTCCTTTTTAACCTACAAGGCGACGATTTACTTTTTAACAATTTCACATTTTCCTGATTATTTATTTTTTGGGAATACTTATATTCATCATGTTCATGATTTATTATTGTATAATTTTCCCATTCGTGAAAATATAAAGGTGCTTGTAAAAATTAGTTAGTTTACTGTATATATATTGGCATACTTTAGTTTGGCAAATCTGGATTATGGTACTAGTCTAGATGGCAGGTGATGCATGCTGTAAGCGATGCACCAACTGTTCCCTCATTCCACACCTTTTGGAATTCATCCAGTTACCAACTTTAATGATATGGAAAGAACCTCAAACTTTACAATACTACGATGACTACACTAAAAAAACTACTTTTTTAAAACAACTAACACATGTGCATCTTTCTCAGAACTTTTCACGACTACACTTAAAAAACTACTAATACATGCACAACTTTCCAAGTGCTTTTTTGTTTATTGATGCAGCAGCTCAAAATGAATGTTATAAAGTCTAGATAGGCAAAAGAGGAGGTCGGTGCATACGTAAAACTGGTTTATTCCACCTCATTTTGTGCCTGTACCAAGTCACGCTATGTGTGGTTTGTTGTTGTTTGTCTTTGTTGGTTTGTCTGTTTTTTGGAGAAGTCGGGTGTTGGGGGGTTGATGTACGGCAAAATATTTTTTAGCACTCTTGTTCCTTTTTTATGAATCAACAATTATCCAAACAAATCATCATGTTTGGAAATGTTTTCATGGATAGGATTTTAACCAAGATTGACATGCTTGGATGTTTTCAAAAATATTAACATGATTATAAGCTGTTTGTGAAGGGACACTTTTAAGCATCCTACCCAAGCTAGATATGTTTGGGCATACAGTGACAATAAATAGACCCTCTTTATGGATTGGACAAGTTTGAGGGGATGGACATGTCTCTGAATGTTACAGATTTCACCCAATATTAGCCAGTTTAAGCATTTACACCTTTTCAACTGTCTTCTTAAAGTTAAACATTTCCCTTTCTGGAGCAAGAAATCTCCCCTGCCATCTCTTAAAGTTATGAGACAGTTGGTTCAATATTTCTAAAGTTGTAAAAACTTTTAGAGTTATTAAATGTTTGTAAAGAACTGAATTTGCAGAGAATTTAACATGTGAAACTAGGGACTTTTTATTTGCTGAAGCTGCATCACATTGGGGCTTGCAGGTTTCCCAATTATCCAGAAATTTTTAACCACATCTGTGAAAATGTCATAGCTTTGAAACAAGCCATCATGCATATCCAAGTTTATGATATGGACAGAAGGTTTGAAGACAAGGCTACTATTGTCACCTACCTGAAATGAAGTCAAGTACATCTTGACCCAGTTGTATATTTTAAGCTGTGATTGTCAAAACTCATATTTGATATTCATTAATAGCTACATATCGTAAAAGAACTTCTTGAGATAACTGATATTTGATACCGAACTAAGAAACCGATGTTTGTTAATAATTGATACAAATACTATCAAGGAAAGGCTTGTGTTGTCTATAGTTATAATTGTATGACAACTCTCTGGGCATAGGAAGAGTGAGTGATCTTGAGTAGAAGCCAGCCTTTGTGAGTTAAGTTCGGAGAGTTCTTCTAATTCTCAGTTGGTTAGAGGGCTTGTAAACTTCAAACACAAAATGGGGCCTTGGCGGCCAAGTAGTCTTAAAAGTAGTTCAACAACTGTACCACTACCCTGTCAACTCTGAGGTTGTGAGTTCTTACCCAGCATGTTGCAGGTGCTTTCAACTCAAATCTTTATTGACTAGGATAGCCAGTTTTCTTGCTGAAGGTAATAGGTTTTCTCCAGGCACTCCCACTTCCTCCACCATAGAAATTGGTCGTCATGAAGTAGTTAATAGTGCTGAAAGTTGTGTTAAATTCCAAAAAAGTAAATCAGATCAAGCACAAAGTTTCTTGATTTTGATTATCTTAGGTGACAATGTTGTAATTTTCTATTGCGATTCATTCTCACCTGTATTATACATAAAGGACAATAAGCTTCCTATCTACCAACTGAGATAAAGGATTACTTCACTCTCACTGATTATTGAGGGCACTTTATGTCTACCATTTTTACTTGACTATAAGTCGGATCCCCTTTTCAGCCTTAAAATCTAAGGATTCAGTCTTGACCCTCATATAAGTCGGTCAAAATTTGGGCAATTTTTTTTGCAGTAGTCGGTAACATCAATGAAAAGTGCAGGAATCATATTAATTTATAACTCCCAAACTTCCGACTTATATGCGAGTACCTATGGTACTTGAACAGGGGATGGACCACTACACTTTGCCAACCTATGTCATTACTACACCCAACCTTGGCATTTTCCTGCCGAAGGTTTTATGAAAATAATACCGGTACACAAATACAGATGCAATTTATGTGCATATAAAACCCATTTTTGAAATAACATTGCCTAGATTTATAACTGAACATGAACAGTGACCTGAAATAAATTTAATTGAACTGTAAAACAGTTTTGAACATGTTGAACAACACAATTGATCAAAACCAAAGAAAAACAAATTTAAGATAAATGGACAAAAAGTAACCAATATCCAACCCAAGCCAAGCAAATATGACACCTTTAATGTGATATTCAACCTCATTGGGCAATATCTTTAACAGACGACTATGCTTTGATAATCATTATTTTATAAATGATTTGTTTATATTGTAAAACCATTCAGACTTTATGAAAATTAAAATTCATTCATATTCACTTCATACAAAAAGACTATTATATGTGTATATATTTTGAGATATTGCAAAATTTGCACTACCTTATTCATGAAAATAAGTACACAAGAAAAAAGTACAATTGCTGTTTTTTTCTCTGGTTACTTATTTGGTTATTTAGTAAGTCTATTAACTAAACAATTTGTTGAAGATATCAATAACCATATTTCCAAAACGTAATAGATTTCTTTATAAGTATTAGTATTTAGTTTCTGAAAAGCTCCTTTGTTAATTTCAAAGGCGTTGTCAGTTTCTGATGTCAATATACAGTCAGGATATACAAATGAATACTTTATTTGACATATTCAAATCAGGTTTTTATGCCCATACCTAAGATAGTAGTAGAGGCATAATGTTTTCTGGTCTGTGCGTCTGTTCGTTTGTTCGTCCGTCTGTCCTGCTTCAGGTTAAAGTTTTTGGTCAAGGTAGTTTTTGATGAAGTTGAAGTCCAATCAACTTGAATCTTAGTACACATGTTCCCTATGATATGATCTTTCTAATTTTAATGCCAAATTAGAGTTTTGACCCCAACTTCAGGGTCCACTGAACATAGAAAATAATAGTGCGAGTGGGGCATCCGTGTACTATGGACATATTCTTTTTAGTTCAGAATTTATTTTTTTTGGAAATAAAACTAATCAACCTACACAACACAAAGTTTTTTTATTTTTAGTCTGGACCAGATATTGATAGGGTTGTTTTTCCTCAGATTCAACCTGATTTTTTTTTTGTCTTCATTTTCTTTCTTACATGATCATCTAAAATAAAACATGTAAAAAGGGCGAATGAAGCTTCAAGAAACACATTTATAGAGTTAATGGGTTCAATATAAGTGAATTTGGGATTAAAATGAAATTGAATAATGCATATCTATAACTGTACATGAAGGTATTAAATCATTTTTAACACATATATATAAAAAAAAATTCAATGCAGTGAATACATTGCTTTTTCTAATTTTATCAATACCTGTACAATTCTGAAAACAAATTTAAATTTATTGACTTTGGAAAAAAAATATATATTAAAAAATGATGATATTAATTTTCAAAGTTAATGGTAATATCAGTTTTTTTTTTAAAGTTAATTTAAACACACATTGAATGAATCAAAGACTGAGGTTATTGTTTTATTTCACACAATTAAAAAACATTTTTGAATAACTAACTATATTTGAATAGATTTTAATAATTTAAAAGTAAAGCAATTGCATGTCATTCAATATAGAAATATACATCACAAGTGCAGCATATGGCTTTTAGCCAAGTGACAACCCTTTCATCCTAGCTCCAGTAAGCAAGGAAAAAAGATTGTTTAGCATCATTCTGCAATATTGTTAAAAACAAAATTTGTAGGAAGTTTTTGACAAAATAAAGGAAAATATAAATAAAATAAAATTTTCTGTTATAAAATATGTTATATAGATCTAAATGAAAAATGTATTGGTCATGAAGTTTTTTCAGTGTCATTCTGCAATTTTATTCAAAATATAATGTGTAGGAATTTCCTTATGATTTAAATGAAAATACAAATAAAGTAAATGTTTTTGTTAAATATGTTGATACAGATCTATATGAATTATTCATATTTATTTAGGAGGAAATTGAAGCTTATATTTGATGCAATTGATATGATTGATAAGCAAGGAAATAGTTTGTTCACCATTATTCTGCAACATTATCCAAAATATAATTTGAAGGATGTTTCTTACGAAATAAATGTAAAAATAAATTAAATAAAAGTTTCTGTTTTACATGTTATATAGATCTATATGAAAAATTTATGTTTATTTAGGAGGAAACGTATTGCAAATAAAAATTGAGACACTCATTTATCTGTGTGATTAAAGCTTTATATTTCACGTATTTGATCTTCATTTCATACAATCTGATAAATGCATTTTATCATGCATTCAAATTGTTTGACAGAACTATTGAATTTAGGAATTTTAGTTTTATTTCGATCAACCATTGGCACATGAATTATAATTAGTGGTAAGATGTTAAGAGGTCAGACAAATTAGACAAAACAAATAATATAATACAACAAATTACGTAATTATCAAACTTAAATTGAACTTCTATAAGACACATTCATATAATATGAATGTATAGTACAATATAGCAGTTTGACCTGGGCAAAAAGAATAATAGGTGCATGCTCAAATAACAAGGGATCTGAATAGTGTGAAAGTTACTGTTATATGCCCTGTTGCCTTTAGAGAAAAAAACAATTTAAGCATTATTACTTGGCCTTATAATTATACAATATATCTTCTATATGAAATGTAATAGCGAAGTAAGCTTTGACGAATCAAAATTCAATTGAATATATTACAGGAGTAATAACGGGGTGTGGTGGGGTTCTGATCCTGGATCCCACTTATTTATTTTGTCAGATTCCCATATCCCACTTATCATTGTAATAATAACGCTTGTAATTTCATGTTTCCTGTTTTCACACACAATAATTTTACTTTCAAGAGTCACGCTTACAAAAAAATAGGTCAATCCCGCATCATGCTTAGACTGAAATGAGACCCACATAACACTGCATATGTCAATAGTGGAGCAGAAATTGCTTACCCTTCCACAGTACTTGGGTTCATTCTTGGATTCTGTTGCTCAATCTGGTTCTCTGTAGTGTTTTGTGGACTATTACTAATTTTATTTTTTGTTCTTTTTCTTTTTTGCCATGGTGTTGTCTGTTTTTATGCCCCCGCCGTAGCGGTGGGGGCATTAAGTTTTACCCTTGTCCGTCTGTACGTACGTACGTACGTACCTCCCAAAATTGGTTTCCGTTCTCTAACTTGAGTTTGCCTCAACCAAATGTTATGAAACTTATACACAATGCTTATTACCACAAAACACAGATCAAGTTTGAATTTTGGTGGCGTCACTTTAACCGTTCTAGAGATATGCTCCTTTATAAATGGAAAATTGCAAAATTTTTAGTTTCCGTTCTCTAACTTGAGTTTGCCTCAACCAAATGTTATCAGTCAGGGGACTTATTGAAATAAGTGATTTTTAAATCACTTATTTAAGTAGCAAATTCGAAGTTTTGTCACAAATTGTGATTTTGTAGTTTTACCAAAATTTTAAACACATAAGTTTAGATATTATCTTTTCATTAGTAAAATTGAAAAAAATGAACTTTTTGCTTCTTTTAAGCAGCAAGGTTTATGCTTTTGATGCAATCATTTAGCTGCAAATTCTATTTTAGTTGAAAAAATGCTATAAAAATGGCTTTACATAATGAACTGATACTTTCTTAACAGATTTTTCCCAGCAGTGGGAGTATTTTTCCTGTAAAATTCAAGGTTTCATCTTATAGATTATGTAATAAAATTCTACTGTTCGCCATCAAAATTTCACTGTTCGGGGGTGTTGAAATTAGTGGGGGTTATTAAAATAATGATACTTAAAGAAGTGATTTTTTGGAAGGAAATTGAGGTATGATACTTAAACAAGTGATTTTTATGTCATTATCCTAGATTTAGTACAAGGTCATCACCTGACATGACCCGGTCATCCTATCAACACAGATGTTGGTTCTGATAATTTTAGCAACATAAATAGTCCCTGGATCATTAGTATTCTATATTTAAAGCTACAAAAAAATTAAATCACTCAGTCTAGTGATTAATTTGTACTACTTAAATAGGTGATTATTAAAGAAAGACAACTCTTACTTCCAACCTTTATGGACATAATGTTACTTGAATCAGTGATTTAGAAAATCACTCATTTAAGTAAGTCCCCTGACTGGTTATGAAACTTATATACACAATGCTTATTACCACAAAACACAGATCAAGTTTGAATTTTGGTGGCGTCACTTTCACCGCTCTAGAGTTATGCCCCTTTATAAATGGAAAAATTGCAAAATTTTTATTTTCTGCTAAATATCAAGTAATTTTTAAAATTGGAGTTATCTTCCTTTGTCCATGATTATAGTTGAATCAACTACAATCAATGCATTATGCAATGTTTAATTTTGACTTCCACTGATAAAACACAGATCAAGTTGAATTTGGGTAGTGTCACTTTAACCATTATTGAGTTATGCCCCTTTATAAATCGAAAGATTGCAAATTTTTTAGTTTCCATTCTGTAACTTAAGTTTCCCCAACCAAACATTATGAAACCTATACATAATATTCATTACCACAAAACTAAGATAAGGACAATTTTTTTGTTTCCGTTTTCTAACTTTAGTTTGCCTCAACCAAATGTTATGAAACTTATACACAATGCTTATTACTACATAATACAGATTAAGTACGAAATTTGGTGGTGACACTCTTACCATTCTTGAGTTATGTCCCTTTATAAACATAAAAATTGCTGAATTTTTCATTCCGTTCTCTAACTTTAGTTTGTCTCAACCAAATGTTATAAAACTTATACACAACCGTTCTAGAGTTATGCGTGTTTACAAACAGAAAAATTGCTGAATTTTTAGTTTCTGTTCTCAACTTAAGTTAGCCTCAACCAAATGTTATGAGACTTACACACAATGCTTATTACCACAAAACTCAGATCAAGTTCAAATTTGGGTAGCGTCACTTTTACCGTTCTTCAGTTATGTCCCTTTATAGCTATATGATATGCAAGCGGGGGCATCATCTGTGTCCACATGTGGACACTATCCACATTTATTTCTATTGCATATGGTTCTGTACTGCACCCTTGCTATTTTTACCCTCCTCTTATGGTTCAAAGGTACAGTTTTCCCCGGCACAAGAAGGTTTTGATAACTCTGGTTTCACAATGTTATACATATTTACCATATAATATATATATTGAAATTCAAGGCTATATTTATTTTTCAGTGCCTTGGTATGGGGAACATCAGTAAAACATCAGCCACAAAAAGTAGGAAGAGATCATGTATTATGTGATGAAGATGTAGTACAGGTCATAAAAAAGTAAGTATCTTTACTATAAAACTCATTCACTATTATAGATGATTGCAAGTTTCAACTACATAAGAAAAGTAACAGTTCGCAAAGAATGAAAACTTAGTAAGTGGACAGCGTCTGTCTAATATAAAAAGGATGAGATGTGGTATGATTGCCAATGAGACATCTATCCACCAGAGTAAATATTTTAGTCGGTTAAAAATTAAAAATTTTGGAACTATAAATTTCACCTCTTTTGATAAAGGATTACAACACTAATAACATTTGTTGTTTTTATACTGCATTTAAAAAAGCATTGAAAGTTTGTTTTTAGGAGTAATACCACCATTGATTTTCCCCTATTAGTCTTAGTTAAATTGTTATTTTTCAAAAAATTGTGCAGAATTTATCTTTGTTTCAAATAAAGAAATACTTGGCATGAGTAAAGTTTTATCATGTCCAGTACTACATTGAAAATTTCACATAACATTTCATTGCATATAAGATAATAACCATCACCGGAAGTAAACCAATCAAATTTTCAGCCCTTTTTTTCTCTGTTAACAAGCTTTAGTAACCATGTCACCTGAAGTTTCCAAAATATTTTATAGGAACAGCAATTAAAAAAAGAATGGTGCTTTGAAACACCCAAGATATATGTTTATGACTCAGAAATTTTTTTCTGCAATGAAATACAGGGTTTATTTCCTATAAGTTTCAAATTCAAGGGAATATTTTTTTCAACCCTTTTTCGTATGAAATCGGATGTGACGTACTATGATTTGGTGTTATTACACCTATTGGTAAACAAATCAATATAACTAGATTGTACTCTTGGCCAGTCATTGCAAGAGTAATAGAAAAGGATATATACTGTATCAATTCATGGTACAAAATCACTTCACACTCTTGATAAACTCAGGCTAAGGAATAGCACTTTTATTGATGTTCTTCATCTAAATGTTATCAGTGTGGCCTCATCATGGATAATACCTCACACCTCACTGCAAGCTCTGGTCAAGAAAAAGTAAACCATTGCCACCTGATGATCAACTGAATGAAAATAAAAATGGAAAAAAAAGTTATGTAAAGATGTACTGAGTAAAAAAAGTTTAACAAAACACATATTTTTTAATTTCATATTTCAAAATTGGAATAAACAATACTTCTAAACATAACAATAAATATATTTTTAAAAAGAAAGTAAACAATGAGGTACATGTTTTACTTTACAAAAACAGTTATTAAAAATTTATTTCTGCAAAATCTAACATTTGCATTTAAAACTTTTTGATTAAAATATATGTTGCTAAACTTTATGTACTCAGTATAGATATTTGCAATACAGAGATAGAAATCTCTAATTCAAAATACAGTAAAATAAAAAAAACAAATATTTACACTTATTTTCCTTTTTTTCAGGATTTAAGAAGATTCAAAGCTGTCTGTGTTTACTTTATCAAATGGAAGATATATAAAACCGCCTTAAATTGAACTAAAGCAAGATCATTACCCCATAAAATTACTGACATGTTATTTGTGTATAGTGAACTTTATATTTTTATGAGGAGATGAGAGCTCAGTGTATATATTGATATACGGGGTAAATTGGACTTGTGTACATTTCTAAACTTTCACTAAGTTAAATGATTATGTTGCTATGACTGCAATAATATTCATTTACTAGTTAATTGTTCTGTGAAAATATTTTCTGTTTTAAACCAAATGTTCGGGTTGACTCTAAAATAAAAAAGTCAGTTTCTCATGAAATGTAAATTTTCATCTGAATTCAGTTATATCAACAAAATACAAAGTGCTTGAATGTTTGTTATTTGTAATACCCATATTAATGAGTTCAGTGAATTTTCTATTCATTCTTCATTGTACCTTTCTTATTCAGCTAATTGGGGTAAAAGGGGGAAGGCTGAGTACTCATGATGATGGGTCTGTCCTAGGAATTATTCCCTAAAGACATACATGGGTCACAAGGAAGCACTTAGAAATCCCAACTATGTGTTGTGTTGTTTAGTGAAAATGTAACAGTAATTTTAAGATTGCCTCTATAGATGATAACCCCATTTTCTAAGTGCCTTCCCTGGTTACCCTTTATGTTTTAATAGAACAGCCCCAAGTTGGAAACCAGGTCAGTGGTTGCCTTTGTTTATATTTTAATGAATTTGTTATTGATGATAGATCTATGACATGTCATCTTTGGTAGTCTCTGTTAAATTTAGAATCTGGGAGCTTGTCAAATGATATAAACCTTTGTATAATGTTGAACATTGTATGTTGCGCCGGCTGGGTCAAACCAAAGACCTGAAAATTGGTATTTGCTGCTTCTCCGCTAACGAAGCTGCATTTAGGAGTAAGAGCAAAGACCTGTTGGCTCAGAATCACAATGATAGTGTATCGTGGTAGGGTGACATGTCTTGCTGCGGATTGTTACCTTGTGAACTATAAATAAGAAGATGTGGTATGAGTGCCAATTAGACAACATTCCATCCAAGTCACAATGTGTAAAAAGTAAACAATTATAGGTCAAAGTACGACCTTCAACACGGAACCTTGGCTCACATCAAACAGCAAGCTATAAAGGGCCCCAAAATGACTAGTGTAAAACAATTCAAACAGGAAAACCAACAGTCTAATCTATATAAAAAACGAGAAACACTTATGAACCACACCAACAAACGACAACCACTGAACAACAGGCTCCTGACTTAGGACAGGTGCATACAAATGCGGCAGGTTTAAGCGTTTTAACAGGTGCAAACCTTCACCCTAACCTGAAACAGTAGTGTAACATTACAACATAAAAAGACACTATAAAATATCAATTGAAATGGCTTAACTCGATCAGCACGTTAACAATTTTGTTCATCATGTCAGACTTGTACAAAGCAGGGTCTATATCCAATTCACTTTACATGTATCTTGTTCTCATCCTGAATATGCATTTAATTTGCCACTGGACGTTACACAGAAATCCATCCATTATCTTGTGACAGGGTCTTTGGCGTGCAATTGTTAAAGTTTGTGATTATGGTACACAGAAAAGCCATACCTATGTGTTAATTATTAATACAGTTAATATTTTTTAATGTAAATCCAAATTGAATGACATTTTACACTATATTTACCTTAAGTAAACAAATTAAATGATATTGATTAAATATTATTTCAACTCTTTAACCTTGAAAATTGTAGATTTTATTTAAATTCAAACAAATATTGTATAACTTTTTATTGACAAATCTACAAAAACAAATAATAAAAGTATTATTTCAAATTGAAATTATATTCAAATATGGAATTTTGCTTATATTGAAGTAAGATGATTAAAAGTAATATGAGGTTTACATGAAATACATTAACACATTATTGAAGTGACTAAGTTCTGATGAAATTTGCTTTGCAATACACATGCTGTCATTTGTTCTTTAGTGTGGCACACATAATTTTAGGCACTTTTTTCTGCAGGTAAATTTATATACATGTTCCTGTGCAGCACACACGATTTTACGAAAACTAAGTGGGATTGTAAATGGAAAAATTCCATAATAGTATCCCAAGATGTATGTAATACCTTGTTGAAATCCACATTATTCAGCAAATAAGGAGACCCTTCCTATTCTCACCCCCTTTAAACAGTGAAATAACTGTTATGTTAGTTTAAATAAGACTTGCAGAACCTCTGTCTGAGCAGTTCCCATTTCAACAGCTAAGAATATTAAAAAGTAAAAGTGTTTGTAACAATCCAAATAGAATTGGCCCCTTGAATGTAGAAATCCACATAGAATTGGCCCCTTGAATGTAGCAATCCAAATAGAATTGGCCCCTTGAATATAGCAATCCAAATAGAATTGGCCCCTTGAATGTAGCAATCCAAATAGAATTGGCCCATTGAATATAGCAATTCAAATAGAATTGGCCCCTTGAATGTAGCAATCCAAGTAGAATTGGTCCCTTGAATGTAGGAATCCAAATAAAATTGGCCCCTTGAATGTAGCAATCCAAATAAAATTGGTCTCTTGAATGTAGGAATCCAAATAGAATTGGCCCCTTGAATGTAGCAATCCAAATAAAATTGGTCCCTTGAATGTAGCAATCCAAATAGAATTGGCCCCTTGAATGTAGCAATCCAAATAGAATTGGCCCCTTGAATGTCGCAACCCAAATAGAATTGGCCCCTTGAATGTAGCAATCCAAATAGAATTGGCCCCTTGAATGTAGCAATCCAAATAGAATTGGCCCCTTGAATGTCGCAACCCAAATAGAATTGGCCCCTTGAATGTAGCAATCCAAATAGAATTGGCCCCTTGAATGTAGCAATCCAAATAGAATTGGCCCCTTGAATGTCGCAACCCAAATAGAATTGGCCCCTTGAATGTAGCAATCCAAATAGAATTGGCCCCTTGAATGTAGCAATCCAAATAGAATTGGCCCCTTGAATGTAGCAATCTAAATAAAATTGGTCCCTTGAATATAGCAATCCAAATAAAATTGGCCTTTTGAAAGGAAAATCTGGAGCACTTGTCTGCTGTAGAAGACATTGGGTTGTTGTCTTATTTAGGTATTTGTACACACTATATCTTTTATTCATCTCTGACACCAAAAAAATGAAAGTTTTTGAAAGAATCCAAATAGTTATGACATTTTGCAGAAAAAATTGTGACCGGCAGTATATGTGAATAAACCCATGAAATTGGCCTATCTGAATAAAGATCACCAGTATGAAATTTAACTATGTCACCATCATCAAGTATAAAACGTAGCTTGTCACCATCACCAAGTATGAAACATAACCATGTCAATATCACCGAGTATGAAATGTAACTATGTTACAATCACTAAGTATGAAATGTAATTATGTCACCACCACCAAGTATGAAACATAACTAGGTCAACATCACCCAGTATGAAACATAACTACGTCACCATCACCCAGTTTGAAACAAAATTAGGTCACCATAAGTATTATGCCCATAATAGATATATGTCTTATTGAACCTCCTGAATTATTATGCAGTGGCAACGGATGGTTAATCTGGTGATTAATCTCAGACAGCAGAGAGCCATTCAATCTTTTCTTGGGAACTAGTAACACAGTTGATAAGGTAAGATGATAAATTTTCATTGGTATTTTCACATTTGTTGTAAGACATAGGAAATATTACTGATTGAATTCTTCAAAATAGGTGACCAATTGCGAACTTCTACTTCATTTGGTCATTTGGTCTCTGGTGGAGAGTTGTCGTATTGGCAATCATACCACATTTTCTTATTTTTATATTTGTATAGAAAACATATAAAATTGCAGAAAACGTTCTTAAATATGTCTTAAAATCATCAAATCTCCAATTTCAAATCCATAGATTTTTCTTAAAAACTGATATGGTTGTTGCTGCATACATTTTCATTTTAATGATATTGATTGATTAACGCCACTTTCAGCACAATTTTGCTATTTTGTGGCATTTTTTTTTTATTGGAGGGGAAAGCCTGAGTGCCAGGAGAGAACAACCTACTTTCGGTTGGTAAGCTAACAATCCTAATCGATTCAGATTGGAGTCAAGCACACCGGCCACGTGCGGGGTTCGAACTCACGACCTCAGTGTTGACAGCTAGGCCACCGTAATTATTATTTGGTTTAAATGCACACAGAACACCACTTTAAATGGTACGTACCGCAAAAACAAAGTCGGTGACCCTATTTTTGTCTTACATTATTAAAATGGAAATTTATGGATCAACAACATATCAATATTTAAGAAAAATCTATGCATTTTAAATTGGAAGTTTGTTGATTTTAAGACAAATTTAAAAAGGTTTTTTCAAAGATTTTATGTGCTTTCTACTTTTCGATTTTCAATTCTAGTTAAACGAGCCACAGTTGTATGGAAAATTTTAGCAAAATCTGTGACATTTCCCATTATTGTACCTTGACCTTAAAATAACGTCATATTTACCAAGTCTGCAAGAAAGTCATATAAACTAGAATATTTGTTGGTTAATCAAATGAAGATTCAAGTTGGGATACAGTTTAATAATTTAATAAACGGTCTATCGAGAATGTATAAAATGTAACATTAATAGCTGTTTACGTTTAACGTTCTTTTCCTAAACTGAAATACATCCTCGGGGCTTCGTGGTAGCGTGTTCGACTCGAGTGCGGAAGGTCATGGGTTGAAACCTCTGCCGTGTCAAAACAAAGATTTTAAATTTGGTATTTACTGCTTCTCATTGCTTGTCATTAAGGAGTAAGAACAAAGACTGGTCGGCTCAGAGTTGGAATAATGTGTCCTGGTAGGGTCACATGTCTTCCTGTGGACTGTAACTTGTGAACTACCACGTTAAAAATCCGGTTCAGCGTGTTGGTCTAGTACAAAGCAGGATATATATATTTAATATCACATAATGACGTTCTCTTCCTATATATGCATTTAATTTGACGCTTGACGTTAAACAGCCATCCATCATCCTCCAAACCTAAATAAAAAATATTGTCAAAAAGTACTTAAAAACATAATAATAAGATATTATATTTATGGATTAAGTAATTACTGTCTTTTGTTAAGATAAATCAATGACATGTAGATATAAAATCCATTATCGGATTTATAGTAGTAACATGCTTTTCAATTAATAATTGATGGTGCGTCTTTATATGTTGTAATGTTACACTACTGTCTCAGGTTAGGGTGAAGGTTGGCGCCTGTTAAAACTTTTAAACCCGCTGCATTTTTATGCACCTGTCCTAAGTCAGGAAC